GGATCTACAAAAATAGACCCATAATAGCCTCCAGGAGGGGTCATCTGTGACGGCGGCGACGGGGTCATAAAACCAGGTGAAGGCGGCGGCAGCGACATCTGGTAATAGAAAGGCGATGACAGCATTATATATGGCTGCAGCATCATAAATGGCTACGATGGCTGCTGTGAAGGTCCTGCTGGTGCAACTAAGGATGAACCGGAAGCACCTGCTCTCCGTTCACGAGTCGGGGGACGATGGTTCTATGTCGGTGAACGTCTCTGTCGACGTCGTGGAAAAGTCTACCCTCGTACATCCTCGGGAAGTAGAAACGGTTTCCCGTTACTGTTGAACCACTCATAATAATCCTCATCATACATCAAAAAGTTAGTAAAAATGGGCTCTCTACGTGGAAGGCGCCAATGTCGATCCTCTCACAACACGACCCACTCATGATGACTCACCAGCCAATCTGTATCTGTCTTGCCGCGTCTATCTAAGCTATGCAACTTGTCCATATTGCGAGGTGCTTCCGGAATTGGTTGAAAACAACCAAACTGCCGGAGCACGCGATCAGTGGAGTGCCACTCGACGGTCGCATAACAAATCAGAGGGATCATCGCCATCCAAACATCTAATGGACCCCTCAACTCAGGTGGGATTACCGCCCTCACATCATCAGTAGAATATGACACCCATTCAAACTAAAACAAATAATATATATTTTTTATTAAAATAATAATCTAATTATATAACTATAATCTAAAATCGATTTTTAAACATTAAAATTCATACCTGTGTGCCAGCCTTCTGATCGATTAGCACCCTAATTTTTTCTAAATCATAAGGTAGCTCCTGATGATTTTTTCTATTAGTAGACCACCTATTCAAGGAAAAAAATTTATTATACGCTGTATAAAATTATTAATATACAAAATCAGTTTTATAATTACCACAGGAGTAGTGGAAATACGAATGGGTTCTTCACAACGGGACATAAAAAGGGCAATCGATACCATGCCCAAGACTGCAGCAGCAGGAGACATCCGCCGATAGCATTACGCCTGTAGTCAGTGGCTCCACACATCTCCCTGTACAGTAAAGCCAAAACTGCCGAGCCCCAACTGAATAATCCGGCGAGACGAAAGTCGCTAAGATGTCGCAACCACATGCAGTGAACTAGGTTGCACGATTTGTCCGGCATCAGCAACCCTCCTATCAGCTGCAGTATGCATGCCCGTGCATACATCTTAACCTCATCCTCAGAGGCGTCTACGCTCAACTCCTGAAAATTGGCATCTAACCAATTTAACGGTATCCTACCTCTGATAAAATTTTCCGGGACACGTCCTAGACTATCCCGACACAAAGTAGTCCAAGAACTGTAAGTTATCCCCGATCTCACATCTCCATCCACCAGAAGCCCCAGGTGCATAGAAACATCCTCAAGCGTGATTGTGCACTCTCCGCACGGAAGATGGAATGTGTGGGTCTCCGGCCTCCACCGCTCTACTAAGGCAGAAATCAGGTATGTCTCTATCTTACAGTGACCCTGATATCTACCTATGTAACCGAATCCAGCCTCTACTAAATACGGCAAGACACGGCTGGGTATCACTACATTAAGATTCCTAATAAAATGATCTAATACACGGTTCTTCTCCTAAAAATAAATAATTACAAAAATTAATTCTTAATCTAATAATCATGTATTAAATAAATCAACTAATTATTACTAATAATTTAAATTAAATTAAAACGTTAAAATGTTACCGTATCAGCAAAGTGTCGATATATTTAATTCTTAATCTAATAATAATGCATTAAATAAATAAACTAATTATTACTAATAATTTAAATTAAATTAAAACGTTAAAATGTTACCGTATCAGCAAAGTGTAAAGATATATTATTTCCATCCGAGCGAAGTAGATTGCCTTCCATTATATATTTGTAAAAGAATTATATTACTAAAATATTAAATAAAGTAAAATACTTAAATAAATTAAATACATAATATTAAAAATATTATAAAATATACCTTAAAAATATAGAGTATTTGAGAGAAATTGAGAGAATTTGGTGTGATAAAAGTGATTGAGGATTGGGGTATTTATAGGGAGGATTGAGATGTGGACGGGCGGGTATTTAGGCTAAAGCGCGCCCCCTGCACCACGCTATACTCCACGTGTCAGATAACCAGGTATAGCGCGGTGTAGGGGACGCGCTTTACTGCTACGGGTGTTAGATCAAAAAATATAATCTGATCGGTGTTAGATCGGTAAATATACCGATCACCGGTGATTTTTTTGGAAAAACACCATAGTACTCACGCTCTCTATATATTTTCATTTAAGTATTTATTTTGTTTAATAAAAATATTTTTTTTTATATATTTTTTAAGGTGGGTTAAATTTGAATACGTATTTTAACTTAAAATTTAGATATAGTTTTAAATTAGATAGAATCTTCTTAAACTCGAGTAGAGTGAAAATATAATTAAATGAATATGTTTCTCAAGTTAAGTCGAATTTGCTGAAAACATAATCTAACGTAATCCGTAGCCATCTCTAAGTACATTTCATAATAAATATTAGAGTATTATTTGATTTATAATGACCGTTTTATCCTTTTTTAAAATAATATAAAATTACACCACAAAACAAATAAAAAACGTCCATAAAATAAGTTACCATTTCTGTTTTTTTTAATATATTGTGACTTTTAAATGCTTCTGACAAATTATTTATAAATACAATGTATTTCGAATAATGTAATTCAATAATTATATTTATGAAATATAAAATATAATAAAGTTTTTTCCCCTTATGCTTAAGTTTTATTCTTTGAAAATGGAATTTAACTAGAAAGATTATTAATGGACAAGGTTCTTAACCTTGAGGTCGTGGGATCGAGTTTCACGGAGGGCATTTCATAATTCGGATGTCTCTTACGGAAGTTGCTCTCAACCTGGTGTTGGGGTAGCCTACTATCTTACCTCCCCCTTACCCCATACATATGAAAAAAAGGGACAGTCATTTATTATTAATGGACACGTAAGGACAATATAGTCATTTTCGTAAAAGTTTGGTCGGTTTTATGATACGCTACAAGAATGTTCATTGCACTTGGCGATGTTACGGCCTTACGGGTTCTTTTTGGCAACGACTAGTAATATTATAAATTAATTATTATATTTAAAATTATAATTTATCATTGAATTATAATAAATATTGGTTTTTAATTTTAATTAATTGATAGGATTATAATAATTAATAAATTAAATGATTTAGCAATAACTACAAATTTAACATGTATTTTATTTTTAATGATAAATTATTACAAATTTAACATATATTTTATTTTTTAATAAATAAATTATTTATTTGTAACAATTAGTTAAATAAGTGATGCATTTACTAATTGGGTGACTTATAATATATTTTTTAATAATAAAATAAGGGTAAATTATATGTTTAATATCTAAACTATCAATTTTGGTCAGTTTTAGTACTTAAACTTTCATTATTTTTCATTTTAGTACCTAAAGATTAGATACTAAAACGAACCAAAACTATTAGTTTTGATACTAAACGCGTTAAGTTTTTAACACCAAAATACTAAAATGAGCTGATAACTAAACGTTAGGTTTGATTTTGAAAAAAAGTATAAACTTATATACTAAAACAGACTAAAACTAATAGTTTGGGTATTGAATGCACATTTTACCCATAAAATAAAAACAACAACAGATCAAACATAATATCTATCATTTTCTTGAACCTCCTCAAAGAAGCTATTTCCCCATTAATTAAGCCTCAATTTAATTAATTAATAATTAATCATAATATTTTATTGTTTTTTTTAAATAATTAAACCTCTAATACTAGAATTAGAGCTATTACTTTCTAGGCAAAGAAAGTGCTCATAAATGTTGTCTTTTTGTTGATCTCAAAACTGGCAACTTTGATTCCAAGGTTCCCTCATTGTCATCTAAGCGAGCTTCTCAAGTAAGAAAAAAGGTTATATATGTAAATTAGTCCATGAATTATACCTCTTTTTCAATTTGATACTTATATTTCATTTTATTTTAGGGTAAATTGCAAATTTCATCTCTAAAGTTCACTTCTCTCATATTTTGCTCATTGAACTTAAACGTTTTCAATCTCCTCACTGAACTTAAGACATTGGGTTTTTTGTTGCTCTACGCCGTTAAATAGATAACGACGTTCAAACGATACCCCTTTTAAAAACAAAATTTTTACCAAAACGACATCATTTTTCATCCATACAAAAGTCCATTTATAACGCCGTTAGCGAGGAAACGAACGAGTGAGAAAAACCCAATGTATTAAGTTCAATGAAAAATTGAAAGTATTTAAAGTACAATGAATGAAATTAGAGAGAGAATAAAGTTCAATTATCAAACTTGTAATTTACCCTTCATTTTAATACTTAATTTATCGCGTACGAACCCCATGCCTTTAGTAGTTAATGGGATTGTTGCTATCCATTAAGATTTTGGATTTGAGCACCATATATTTAGGAATTTTGAGCGTTCAATCTGACATATTTTGATTTATCTAATTTTTATATTTTTTAATTTGAATTCACTTAAACTATCATTTTTGTTCGTTTCAATATCTAAACTTTCAAGTTTTTTTTAAAACTTAACGTTAAATTCTGAACGGATACTAAAATAAAACAAAAAATAAACTTTATGTATGATTTTAAAAAAATTAAAAATTTAGATACTAAAGCTAATTTACCCAAAAAATGAAAACTTGAACTTGACAATCAAGTGGCTTACATTTAAGCACACGAGTCCTTTATATATTCTTTATCTTTTTTCCCATTAAGGGACAAGGGGGGATGTTTTGGTAGGATTGTGTTTAAACGAAGCCTTTAAATTTCACAGTAACACGGTAATTTATATTCAATAGAGGTCATCAAAACAGCATAACCAGAGCAAAAAAAAAAAAAAAACCAAACATTGTGTTAACACTGGTTGCGTGATTATTGTTCTAAATTTTTCCTTTTTTCGGGGGGCATTGAGTTAAGGGAGAATCTCCTTGGTTCCACCATATCTTCTCTCTTTCTCTCTCATGGCCTTAGATATTAAGAACCCACACCTCTTATCATAGTCCAAATATTTGTTGAAATGCTTCAGAGAACTTTCATGTCAAAGGGAAAACTTTGATTTGAGTTTTGGTTGAGCTTTGAGTTAGAACAACTCTTTTTTTTAAAGGTATAGACCAAGTTTTCTATGGATGATTTTTTTGTATATCCATGTCCTTTTCTTCTGTTGTTATCTTTGTTTTACTGATACTTTAAGGTTTAGCTTCTGCAATCACAAAAGTTCCATTGTTTTTTTTACAGTTTGTTTAAAGTTCTTGGTCTTCAAAGTTACATAGAGGGATTGGTGTTGTTTTAACTGGATCATGGAGAGTGGATGCTCAAAGAAGCTGGAAGAAGAGAAACTGGAGCTGAGGCTTGGTCCACCAGGTCAAGAAGATAGAAGCAGGTTCATTAAAAACAGCCACCAAGAGAGAGATGAGGCTTTGCTTTCATTTGGGTATTTTCCTTCAATGAAAAGCAATGCAAACCAGGCACAGAAGTTCCCTCCGTCGGAGGATCGCCGTGTTGGGTCAGTTTTGGCTTCTCCGTGGGCCAAAAACCACCACCAAAACCAGCCAGAGCACACAGCTATGCCTCCCAACTGTTCTCAAAAACGGTGCTTCACTTTTTCACTTTCCTCTCTCTATATTTCTCCCTGTGCAACTCTTTAATTTTCTTTTTACATTTTTAACCTTTTTTGGTTTTTTTGACAGAGAATATTCATTCACAAAGGGTCACATGTTTACCTTGCTTGATGTTTATGTGGTCCATGCATGGTTGTTTAATGCTCTTCCATGTGTTTCTTTTATGTTCTTTTTCAACAATGATTTGTTGATCTTTAGTTTTAGATGTACATTTTTTACCACTTCTGCATGTTATCTTATGGTATCCCGCAATTATTATATTGATCCTCTCTATGAACATTTAGTTCGTTTTAGTAATTAAATTTTTTATTTTTTAAAAAGTATATCTAAAGTTTAGTTTTTGTTTTATTTTAGTATTTTCTTTTAAAAAAGTAACGAGATGAGTAATTAAACTATCAGTTTTGGTCCGTTTTAGCTCCTAAACTTTTATTTTTTTCAAAACTTATCGATAAATTTTGAACAATGAATTAAAATGATAAGTTTTGAACAATGAACTAAAATGAAACAAAAACTAAAGTTTTTAACGGTGTAGTACTAAAATAAAACAAAAATTATATTTTATGTATGGTTTTGAAAAGATTAAAAGTTTAGATACTAAAACGGACTAAAACTGATAGTGTAGATACTAAACGCATAATTTACTCTATACAGTATTTATTAATAGACTAATTCAGGTATTATAAAGTTCCAAATTTTCTCCATTTACGGTATTTGTGACCTTGTTTAAAGAACTTAACAACTCGTAGACAGTATTAAAGTCTCGTAATTTTAGGTAGTCTTAAAGCCTCATAGGTATCTGGATGACATAGTAGGTAAAATGATTGAATGAATTGTGATGTTTATATTTTCTTAACTCCATCGTCATGATAATGGAAAACACAGGATTGCTTCTGGTCCAGTTGTGGGTTGGCCACCGGTTCGTTCCTTCAGGAAGAATCATGGAACCCCGAGTTCTTCGAAACCGGCTTCTGATCCACCAAGAGGTCTCCCTCACAAGATTGCCAGTGAGAAAAAACCGGCAGGGACTGAACCTAATGTTAAAGGCCTATTCGTGAAGATCAACATGGACGGAGTTCCGATCGGAAGGAAAATCGATCTCAAAGCCTACGATAGCTACGATAAACTCTCGACTGCCGTTGATGAACTCTTCATGAGGCTTCTTGCAGGTAAAGTCATTGAACTATTATTTCCGAATTTGTAGAGTGTATGCATCAATTAGATGATGCAAGTGTAATATGATCGATTGGTTCACATTGACGTTTGCCATTAGAGAAAAGCTTGATTGATTCAACTTTTCCGATATATATGATGATGGCCGATCGGTTCCCATCGATGTTCTCAACTGTTTTACACCATGTTAAAGTTTATCCTAGTCGACAGAATATGGTAAATCCTGTGCAGCTCAAAGAGATCCATCTGCTGGTAGAGTGATGAACAAGCAAGAGGAAGAGAAACCTATTACTGGTGTATTGGATGGTAATGGTGAATATACACTTGTTTACGAGGATAACGAAGGCGACCGGATGCTCGTCGGCGATGTCCCGTGGCAGTAAGCATCTTACCACTATAAAATCTAATGAAAATTTTCAGATCATACAAATACCACATTATAGATGCATGTGTGTGTATATTCCCGCAGTCGAAAATCCGGTTTTATGTTCACCCCGTTTGGTTCTCATCTTAACCATAATCATACAGAACCGGATTGTTCGATTAAAGTACGTTATACCATATACATGAGTAACTTCTGTAATACATGAGGTTTGATTTGGATTTGCAGCATGTTCGTATCGACGGTGAAACGGCTGCGTGTGTTGAAGAGCTCGGAACTCTCCGCGGTTAACCGTGAGTTACGATAACCGGTCCGTTTCTCCATTTTTTTACCCGCCTGGTTTCATTAGCAAGAAATTGATGGTTGTTTTACAGTTGGAAGCAGTAAGAAGGGAAAGACTGGGGGAAGCTAGAGCCACTTCCATTTGAAGATTGCCCATCAAAGTTTGAAGAAAAGAGGCTTGGAATTACGTTCACGAGTTGACATTTTGGTCCTCCGTTTTGGATGAAATTGCATATATATATAAAATCTGTGGTTTTGTATGTACTTTTTGTCTTGTTGAACGTGCTTTTGTCATTTATTCTATTTATATTCGAATCCCTTTAAATGAATGATATTCTAATGAGTTAGTTGCATCCTATGTCCTCAAAGTATGATCCTCATTTTGAATTGATTCCTATAACTTTAAGTGTTTCAATTTCATCCTTAAACTATGATTATCATTTTAATTTAGTGTTTAAACTTTTTAATATTTTAATTTCATTCTCAAACTATGACTTTTTTTCTAAATTGGTTCTTAAACTTTTTGAACATTTCAATTTTATCCTAAACTATATGTATATACTATTCATGCCCTTTGTTAGTAAAAATGTCAGGCAAGTTATATATGTTTGTAAAAAATTAGGCTTAATACATTTTTAGGTGTTTAAACTATGCTTCAAGTTGACTTTTGGTGCCTAAAGAAATTTTCGTTAAAAATAGATACCTTATGTTTTCTCCGTTATACTGTTAGATACATACCGTTAAAGAAACCGTTAAGTGACACATGTCACATTTATATTTTTTCAAAAATAAAATATTATTGAAAAATATTTTTCAAAAATATGGAAGTGATACGTGTCACTTAACGATTTTTTTTAAAACAGTAATCACTTAAAAGTGTAACGGAGAAAATATTATGCATCTATTTTTAACGAAAAAAATTTTAGGCACCAAAAGTCAATTTGAGGTATAATTTAGACACCTAAAAGTGTATTAAGCCAGAAAATTATGTTAAACTATGGTTGAAATTAATTACATAATTGGATGAATTTGAGAACGAATTTGGAAGATTCAAAACTTTGGGGACCAATTTAAAAATAGGATCGTAGTTTAAGGATGCAATTAGAATGTTCAAAAGTTTAAGGGTTGATTTATAATAAAAGCCATAGTTTAGGAATGAAATTAAAATATTCAAAAACTTAAGAACCAATTTAAAATAGAATTATAATTTAAGGCCTTACTTTATATGTCAAATAGTATATAGATATAATAAAGTTGGTCAAGGCCTAACTTTGTGCCCAAATATAAGAACGGTCAAAGTCTAAATTGTGTTCCATTTTAAGAAGACACGTGCGGGATGAAACGTGAAATAGTGTAAAACACACGTGCGCAATCACCGGCACTTGTGAGGGCGGCTACTTGCTTTCGGCTCTCTGGTATTTGTTTTTTTTACTTTACTTTATAGAGTCCGGCCGGTGGGGACACGTGTCACTGTTGACCCGAAACACGGACATTAACTAGACAAGACATGCCTTCAAACTTCAAGCTTACCAATCTTTGCTCAATTCATTTTAGGGTTAAGTACACAAATAGTTCCAGACTATAAGGTACTATTTTATTAAGTCTCTCGGTTATAAAAAGTTATAAAATAGTCATTTTATTATAGAGTGTTGCTTTGTTGAGTACTTCGACTATTAAAAGTTACAAAATGATCACTCAACTATTCATTATATTCCAAAATCGTCATTCTATGTTAAAAAATTGACAGTATTATGAGTTGAACGTTAACCTACTACCTGTGATAGGATAAAATTTTATTCTACAATCTCAATCATCATGTTACCATTCAACTTAGACAACCACCAATTTTTTAACGGAAAATAATAAGTTTGGAACATAATGAATAGTAAGAAGTAAATTTTATAACTTTTAATAGTCGATGAACTTAATAAAACAATATTCTATAGTCAGAAGACTATTTTATAACTTTTAATAGTTAAAAGACTTAATAAAATAATACCTATAATCGGGACCATTGTGTACTTTACCCATCTTTTTATTTATAAAATATTTAATATTAGACGTGTTAACAAGTCAACAAGTTCGAATTGGATAAGGATATAATCTAGTTATAAATACTGTTTTCAAAAATAAATTCTAGGGTAAATAATGTGTTTGGTACCTTAACCATCATTTTTGTTTCATTTTAATCATTCAACTTTTTTAAATCATACTTAACATATTTTTTTGTTTTAATTTGGTCACTAAAAGTTAAAAAATTAACAAAAATTGATATTTTTTAATGATAACGTGACATTATCTTACGATGACATGTCAATATCACTATTAATTTTTTAACGACGGTGGATCAAAATAAAACTAAAACTAAACATTAGGTATGATTTTGAACAAAAAATAGTTAAGTGACTAAATCATAATAAAAATAATAATTGGAGCACTAAACATGTTTAAACGATTATTTGACTAAAAAGTATTGTTTAATTTCTTTATTTAAAAGGTATTGTTTCATTTCTTTATTTAGAAATGATAAGGACTTGATTGTAGAATTGACAAAACTTAGAGGACTTGATATAATTAGAGAGCTGAGTGGCCATAACAATAAGAGAACCTGTGCACTTTAAGCTCAATGGCATGTAAGCCCGTCAACTCTACAATTGTACTATCAAGTCCTTTAAACTTCACCAACTCTGCAATCAAGTCCTTCACCACTTCCAAATACTTAACGCAATACCAAAGCCTATTGAGACTATAACCGGTGATAAAAAAAATTAAAAGATCAAAAATAGATAAAAATACTTATTTTTTATGGTAAACTACACATTTAATACCTAAATTATTAATTTTAGTCTATTTTGATGCCTAAACTTTCAATTTTTTAAAATATACCTAACATTTAATCTTTATTTCATTTTAGTACCCGACATTAAAAAATTAAATTATTTAATACTTAAACTATAAGTTTTGATATATTTTAGGACCTAAACTTTTGATTTTTTTCTTTCAAAACTTAACATTAAGTTTACTCAAAATTTTATATAATTTAAATGACAACGTATTACAAATTAAAAAGACCGATCGAATTGAATCAAATTAAAATCTTCCAAATCCGAAAGTTTATTTAATAAGCTTAAATTTTCTTTTGGCCCAAGCTTTGTATTCCTTTGGGAATCGTGGGGAACATCCTAGTCTCCCAATGCAACAGAAGAATACCGCTAGGCCATACTTTCTCAGAAACATTTTTACAAACAGTTTGAAGACATGTAATGCAAAGAGTCTGGATTTCGAAAACTTCCGGACCTTATTGACGAGGTAGTAATCGGCGAACAATACTCCTCGAGACCTTGTTCTTGCAACTCGATAACCCGAGTTCAAAACCGAGAACGGCTAGTTAAAAGTTTCACCGACCGGTAAAGTTAGAAAGTGAAACAAACTTGAGGGGAAAAAAGTGTGGGGAGATAGCTGCTTCGGTTGCCGCTGGCACCGTAAACTCTTATCTCCGGCTGAGAATTCATGGTGCACTCATTTTTACAAACAGTTTGAAGACATGTAATGCAAAGAGTCTGGATTTCGAAAACTTCCGGACCTTATTGACGAGGTAGTAATCGGCGAACAATACTCCTCGAGACCTTGTTCTTGCAACTCGATAACCCGAGTTCAAAACCGAGAACGGCTAGTTAAAAGTTTCACCGACCGGTAAAGTTAGAAAGTGAAACAAACTTGAGGGGAAAAAAGTGTGGGGAGATAGCTGCTTCGGTTGCCGCTGGCACCGTAAACTCTTATCTCCGGCTGAGAATTCATGGTGCACTCATTTTGCACGAAACTTGCCGCTAACGGATTCGTAGTTAGGGACTTGTAAGACTGCCAAACAAGGGTAGAGAATCTCATAATCCGGTCGATAATGTTCACGTAAAAGAGTTGGATAGAATTATTCCGGGAAACCGGATGTTTACCGTCACCATAAGATGCCATGGTTAGAGGCGAGGATATAAGCTTCTTAGCCATATTGGTAATATCCTGCAGCGTGACTTCATCCACCATCTTTAAGAACGAATGTACGGGTTTCCTGTGAAGAAATGAGATAAAAACATGTAATACGCAAACAAAATGCCCATTCTTACACTGTATCAAACAAACTAAGCCGCCGATTCAACTAAAAAGTCGACAAACACGGTAAAGCTGGGAAGGGATGTCGAAACAACACTGAAACTAGAACATAAAGATCACTTATTTTATGTAACAACAACAAATATGAATCTTACATTCTATAAACAATCATAAACTCTTTATTAACCATAAATATCGGAACACGGTAATGTCACTCGTACAGCCATTTTCAATGCAAGGTGTTTGCTCACATGGATGTCATACCAGCATGGGGATGAGGTTAAAAACATATATTTTTTCTTAGCTATATCATATGTTAACTCGGACTCGGGTGCAAGTGTCGGACACGGGTATAGTTAGATTTTTCCAAGTTCTTCCATATATTTGAGGGATCCTTGGAGGTCATACCCTTATATCCAAGTGTTGGACATGTGCACTTCGTGAAAAGTGAAGAGTCCGAACAACATAAGTTATATTGCTCAGATTCTTCATTTTTCTTCAAGTGTTCCATTTTGACACCCATATATTATCCTCTGAGGATCATCAAAGTTCTTAGAAAACATAGAATTCCGTAGTAAACTCACCTTTCTCCGTACGTCAAAATCTGCCTTCCGATGTCTTCAGCTACAATCATCTGAAAAACACAACAGATTGAACATAGCAAATCTTTTAACAGAACAACGAAAAAGTAAACAATAACAAGAAAATGATTTATAAAGAAAAAAAAATTAATTAATGAATATTGCCAGAATAATTCACAAGACCATACTCTAGATTCTAGATTCATCAGTACTGCTGATTTTGTAGCCTCTTGAGCACGCTTTATCATTAGCCGAGAAACCGATCCTTCGGTTGCCAGCAAGAGTAATTCTTCTGCTGCTATGTCTACTGCTTTTGACACAAAATCATAGCTCTGGCGTGAAAATTAAGCAAATTCAGGTCTTTGGAAGTCCAAATCGAGGCAAGCAAGTTATTGAAAGACCCAATTCATGACATTGACTTAATGATCAAAAGGCATTACTGAAAATATTAAGACATAACAAGCTTATAGTGTCCTATAAAAGAAAAGCCGGCATCCACATCCAGACATGCATATGCTTACACACTACTACGTTTGTTTTGCATGTATAAATAATAAAGAAGAGTAGTTAATGATAGCCTTACCGTGCTGCCATATATGCCAAACAGTCCCGTGTTATTGAAGATGCTGTTGAATGCAGAGAAAGAATGGATCCGCTGATACTCATTCAATACACGGAGATCTGTTTCCAAACATAACGGAAAAAGAAAAGTACGTAATGAATGCATGAAAGAAATTCGAGAAATAATACATGCAAAAAATTCCCGATATTTTCACAATGGACAGGGAAGGGATCATGCAAGATCATTGCAAAACAAATTGTACGACAAATGACTTCAGCAGCTCAGTTGAAATCTAATGAAAATTGCAGACATAGGTATGTGTATGACTCGGACTCATGTCTCCATATACGTGTTCAATATGAGTGCTTTAAGAAAAATGAAGGTTCTGAGCAACATAGAGACTTCACGCTAGACAAAAGCAAAACTTACATAGCCGAGAGTGCATCCCTTTCCCGGGACCCCCAGTTGAAAATGAGCCACCTCCTCCCATAAGCATCTGCAGGTCAACCAGAATCATTCATACCATTCAAGCAAGAACCATATAAAATGATTAGAGAAACTTAAAAAAATGTCGAAGGTTTTTTCACAAAACATATTTGTCTGACCCAAAGGATTCACAGTAAATCTCAATTAATGAAAAACGTAATACACGATTCTAACAAAACTAAACAATAAATGAAGCAAAGTTCAAAATCTGGCACCTGCATTACAGTCAAAGTGACAGAGTCTTTCTCGTTATTCCAGCCACTAGGTACTTCAAAAGCAAGAGCGAAATGGGTACTCTGCAATTTACAACCAAAACATTCAATCTACAGCAAGAAGAAAACCTGAAGTTCGAAAAAAGTTATTTTTTTCTGATCTTTCCTTATTTTATTTATATCAGATGAATGGTAAAATGTACCAGTGAATCAGCTCGTTGACGAAAATCACCACCAACGTAAACAGATTTTGGCTCTTTTGGTTGGGGTCCGGCCGGGATGTCCGAAAGAAGTGGCTCAGCAATCTGAAGAAGCTCTTCATTTTCAATGCCCGATGCTGCCAGGACAATTCTATTCCCCTTATAGTTCTCCTGAACCCCTCAAATAAACCGCCATTCAGCACAATAAACACGGAAAGAAACTCAGAAACACCATCAATCACACAAAAGTCATATGTTCGAAGTACTATAAACCAAAAAGAATCATCCATATATGTAAAAGAACATGCAAGGATATGGACAGAATATAAAAGATTCTTACAGTAATGAATTCTTCCAAAATGCCACTGTCCAATCTGTCTATTGCTGATTCAGAAGCCAAGAGGGGATTGGCCAGTGCACCAGAGTAACCAGCGGAGTGAACTGCCTCCAAAATTAAGCGCTCGGGGTTTTTCAAAACCTCATCCAATTCAGCTTTCATCTTTTGCAACTGAACAAGAATGACATATTGAAAACTCAAAATAAGGAAAATGAAATGAAGAAAACGAAAAGGGACAAATTCTAAGTTTATTATCAATGGCCAAAGTATCGTGTCCTCATTCTCCCAAAGCTGTCCCACATATATATGGATGCTAAGCTATGAAATCTACATATATCAGCATTTACCTTTACTTGTACTAAGAACTGTAGAGCAAATCAATAAGAAGGGTGCTTCTTCTAGAATTTTCAATTTAAATCGAAAAATGCGAAAGGTTTACAACAAATTACCTCTTCATTAATTTCCCAGTCCAAAAAAGCGGGGTTCCGCACACAGTCAATAAGCAATTCTACCATTTCAGGAACATAGGTTTTAAGGGCATCACAGGTGTATGTCATGCACTCCCTAGAGGCCGAGGCCGATGTGTTACCTCCAATTGCCTCAACTTCCCTAACAACGCGCAATTGGCTTCGGTTTGTCGTGCTCTTGAATGCCATTCGCTCCAGCAAGTGGGAGGCACCAGATGATATCGGTGTCTCATAAATGGAACCACAATTAATGAATAAGCCAATGGAGGCAGCCAGAGTCTGATAAAACAAGCAAAGATCATGACTAAACCATAACCAATTAAACAATCGGCAAAATGAAGCAGCAGTAACACTTAAGAAAGGATACAATGTTTCAATAAATGGAAGAGTCGAAATTTCCAATACCGGTAAAAGCTCCGATGATTTTCTCACACCATTTGAGAGGGTTTTAATCTTAGTTTCACTGGGTGAAACATAATCAGGTAATGGGGGTGGAAGGGAAACACCATCTAATGGCGTATCCAAAGCAGCAACAGCACTTGAAGTAGAGTATCGAGCAGCTGTCAAATTACCGGTGCGGCCCTATTAATAAATGTTCGAAAAGCATTCTTGTAAGTGACTACATAGAACCAGCACCAGCTCCATCAAGTGGAGCAAAACAGAATCCAACCAGACGCTCATCATACACGGTAATGTATATAACAAGCATCATTATGTAGTCGAAAGACAACTAAAAAAACAGTACACAATCAAAGAAAACAAAGGGATATAGCATAGCTTCCATTGTTTCTTTTAAATCAAAACCAAATACCATTGCCAATAAACAATCATATCATATAAGGAATATAAACAGAAAATAACGATAACAACTGAAATTCATAAACTGATAATGAAGTGAGAAAAAAAGTGATTGAATGGATATTGAAACGGGTCTGGAAATGAAAATCCATGCGACAAAAACCACCAACTTGTTCTGGGTCGTCTTCTTTCATATTGATTTCCTGTATTTTCTCGAGAACCAAACAGAAAATTCATAGAGCTTTGGGTGTTAAAAAGAAACTGACCTTAAGAGCCCTGAAACGGGAAAGAGCAGCTCTATACATGGTGTCTGACTTTCGTGGATTTTAAGGTTTTAGGAAACCCTCTCACTGTCTGTGACAGTGATGTATTATTTGTTTGTGAAGATAAAATGACAAAAGAAAGCCTCTCCGAAGCGAAGCGAGACTTGAAGGAGAGCAAAGCGAAAAAGACGTAGAGTTCCGTTCCGCTTTTAAAGGGTTAAGAGGAAAAGATCTCTCTTTCCGCATTCATTTTCAGTAGGGTTTTCTCTAGCCGCACCCTTACTATACGGTTAACGTTATCGGTTTTGTTATTATTATATACTTAAAACATCAATATTTTTTTAACATTTCAGATAAAGTATCCAACAATAATAAAATCAATAGAAAAAATAACAAAATCGGTAAAACGCTCAATAATAACAAAATCGGTATAAATAATAATATTTTCGATAAATTTTTACCGGTTTTCTTATTTAAATAATAACAAAACCGGTAGCGTTTTTTTTAACCGTATATTAAGGTTGCTGCACGTGATCATTTCTCTTTTCTCTCCCCGATCTCTGCCACCTCATTATCTTATCTGAGATAATATTAAAAAAAATAATCCCTTAACGATATAATTAAAATCAAATCAAAATACAATATTAAATATAATTTTGAAAAGAAATAACAGTAATGATCAAAATAAAATAAAAATAATAATTGAGTACTAAACTTATAATTTACCCTAACAAAAAAGAAAAATATTTAAGAAGTAAAAGATTAAATTAAAGGTTCTCTTACACAAATGCTCCCTTAACTATAATATATTTGCTTTGTTGAGTCTCCAATTATTAAAAGTTATAAAATTATCAGACGGTTATTCATATGTTATAATTTCATCATTTTTTCATTAAAAAATTAATGGTCATATGAGTTGGGTATAACCGATTGACTATATATTATAAAATTATATTTTAATGATGTCTATTGGCACTATAATTGCTTTCAATTACTGACTCGATACCATAATGCTTCAGGTACTAGCTCGACGAATAGAGTTGAGCCATAAAATATAGCTCAAATGATTATGGGTTCATATTTTATCATATCTCAATCGACGGGTTAACGTCCAATTCAAACGGTCGCCAATTTTTTAATAGAAAAGAACGAATTCGAACCATACAAATAGTTGGGTAACCATTTTACTACTTTTAATAGTCAATAGACTCAATAAACAACACCTTATAGTTAGGGACCATTTTATAACTTTTAATAATTAAAATACTCAACAAAACAATACTATATAATCAAGGGATCATTTATGTACTTTATTCTAAATAAAATAAATTAAAACTATATAAATATTTTACCATGAAAGATTAATATAAGACTCAATCTTGACTAAAAAAACGACTTAAAATAAATAATTAAAGAAATAAGAACATCAAAAATCAAATTACATAATAATTAAATTATTTAGCTAAAAGTTAAGACAATATAGTCATAATTTTTAAATTTTATAAATTCAAACTTTAAATACGATTAAAAAGTAAAATTGGAAATAAAAAATAAATTTTAGAATTGAATTAATTTTTCATGTCAGAAAAACAAATTGCAATTAAATTTAGGATAAACTATACTTCTAGTACTTAAAACTTAAAACTTCAAAGTCTCTCCCGATTTCCTTTCCCGCGTAACCTCTGCCGTCTCCGTCGAGATTTACGCCGTCGGTATCTTCCGAGACAAGCTCGTCGGAACCGTTCGTATACTCATCAGCAGTCTCCACCCGACGGCTTCGTCGGCGCCGGCTTTCGCCGCGTTCTTAATCCACAGCCCTTCCGGCGAATTCTTCGGATCCTTAAACGTCGGCGCAATGGTCGTTAACGGATTAACTGGTTTTAGAACGCTGATCAAAGCATCCACAGTCGATTACCATGATCTAGGCGGCGGAGACAATCTCGCTGGAAAACAGCTTATAATCCGATCGACGAACATATCGAAAGCTACGGTTCGAGACATCCCGGGATCGATCCCCAGTGATTCATCAGTTCATCGATCGGAACCTAGCGAGTCCATAATTTCGCCATCATTGAAAGCTTTGAAACTCGAGAAGAAGAAGAAACTAGCTATCAACCTCGGGAAAGCAACAATCTGGAAATACACCATGAAATTACTGAGATGAATGCTGCTGATAGTGACTGTCTGAGTTGTGGAGAAGTGAATGGTATAATTTTGGTTTTGGTTCCTCTATTATCAATTATGTAATAATTTGTGATCTAATTCGAATAATTTAAGTTGCCATAATATCTTTTAGGGTAAACTACACATTTAGTATTTAAACTTTGAGTATTATTAAAATCACGCCTAATGTTTAGTTTTTATTTCATTTTAGTATTGTCGTTAAAAATTTAATGCATTTAGTACCTAAACTATCATTTTAGTACATAAACTTTCAATTCTTTTTCAAAACTTTAAATTTTAAACAGGTTACTAAAATAAAATAAAAATTAAACTTTAGGTATAATTTTGAAAAAAATACAAATTTAAGTGCTAAAACAGATCAAAACTAATAATTTAGATACTAAATACATAATTTACCCTATCTTTTATTTTGATAGTGTTATTAGTCCATTCAAATTGTTAATAGTATTTTGAGTATTGTAATATTTGATTTAAATAGTATATTTTTTAATTTTAACATACACATGCGCTAGTGCAAAGGTAAATTACATAAATGATCCCTCAATTATAGAAAATTACTTTGTCAAATCCCCAAATAATAAAAACTTATAAAATATTCACCCAATTATATGATATTATTTGTTGAGTCCCTCAACTATTAAAAATTACAAAATGATCACCTAACTATTCATTATATTCTAAATTTATCTTTTTTCGTTTAAAAATTAACGACAATCTAAATTTAATGATAATTGATGTGTGAGATGATAAAATTTGATCTCAGGATTTCAAACAACTATCATATCTCAGACAACAAATTAACATTCAACTCAAACTATCGTAATTTTTTTAACGAAAAAAAAATCTGAAACATAATAAATAGTTCGTAACTTTTAATAACTAAAAAACTCAACAAAATAATATCTTATAATCAGAAATTATTTTATAACTTTTTGATAACCAAGGACCAAGTAGTATCCTATAATTAAAAATTATTTTATAACTTTTTATAATCAAGGACCATTAGTTTACTTTACCCTAACCTTAAATTTTATCGTAAATGATATAATGATATATAATCAAAAATATCATTTAATTTGAATTTATTTTTAATGATATTTTATTATCTGATTAATTAATGATGCATACAATTATACAATCAATATATCAAAATAATAATCTATTATTGCAAATTACATTTTTAGCCATTAAACTTCCAATGTGTTTATATTTTGATAACCCATATATATTTTTCTAAAAATTTTATCACTAAAATTTTAAATTGAGCTGTTTCCATCAACCAATCTTCGCACATTGAGTTTGGAATTCTTTATGAAATCAATCTAAAAATCTATCATTATTCTTCCCCATGACCGATATCCTTTTTTATCCTACATTGGATCGCCATTAACATTATCAGTGGCGGATCCAAAAATAGTTTTGAAAATGGATATGCAAATATTAATTATTAAAATTTTTCGTTTGAGATTGATACAAATAAAATTTTAAGATAAACACCCATAGTAAAATTGATGACTAATATAAAGAAATTCGGATTCTAGGGCGAACCCGTACCCACCCGGATATACTTTACATCCGCCACTGACCATCAATGTAACTAACACCAAAATATAAATAGTTGAATGCAATGAAAAAAATTAAAAATTTCAATAACTGAATGATCAAAATAAAAACAGACTTCAAACTTCAAATTTCTATCAAATTCAAGCTTAGACCCAACCATCACCAAATCTAATCAAGGCCAACTAATGGCAATACCAATTTTCAACTAAGGAATAGATGAAACAAGTCTTATGATCGAACTTACGATACTATAATCCTGAAACAAAGTAGAAAGAACCATGCTGATCACTTTTTTTTTGGAAATCTAATTATAAAATCCACCAAGTTAAAGCCATGAAAGAAAGACTAATTCAAGACAAGATGAGGGTCCAAAACAATGATAAATTGCAGCACGATGAAATGTATAACCTCAATATTGTGAAGCTCACTTCCTGCCATGGATCTTCAATGCTTGTCGGTTCCTCTTCTTGACACCGGACTTGGCAACCTTCAGACTGCGGTGCACGACACTCAACCTTGCAAGGGCAGCTTTTGTCAAATCAGGCCTGTAATAGTTGTCCGTCACCTGTAATTTTGAACCATAGAGCATTAGAGAAAATTCATAAAAGAAGCACAATGATGAGTCACGAGTCTTAACCGAGAAGCAAAATTTATACGAATGTGGGTAAGAATAATATTGAAAATTTATACCCAGAAACGGTTAACTAAGCATACAGATACAATTATAACAGAAGTAGAACTATATTAAGTACTAAAGATGCACCATTTGGGAGCTCAGATATGTAACTAGAACATTCCGTTTCTAATATTACAGCGGGATTCAGGAACACAATGCACTTAAAATAATCATTCAAGTAAATCATCTAACAAGTCTTAACAGTTGGACTGAAGACTGAAATTAGCTAAGCAAAAACTTCAAACACTGTAAAGAAAGCCACTTTACCTGGTTTTTGACTGCCTTAACCATCCTGGGGAACTCTTTTTTCATGACGGACTTGTGAAGCAAGCTCGAAGGCTTGTTCTGCTTCTTAGTCTTAGTCGTTGCTAACAGCACAGACTGGTCCTTGCCCCCGGGTTGAATGGTGACAGTTTTCTTGTTTGCCAACCCTAAAATTACACAGATCCAGTAAAGAGATAAGTCAATATAATTCAAAGGATTCTGAAAACATCATCAACGAATACAACATATAACGTCAAATTTACCAGCCTTTTACCATTCTCAAGATAAAAACAACCTTTACAACTCCTAACACCATACAACATTTACCATTTTCCACCACATTCTATAGGTGAAATCGAGTTCAAGCAGTGCTCAAGAGCTAAAACTCCTTTCAGTTTGAAGCTCAAGCTCCATTCAAGATAAATATTCAAGATCATTTACCTAATTAAAACGAGCTCATTTATCCTTGCTCAAGGTCAACTTGAAAATTTCAACACTAATTAAAAAATTTAATGCAAAATTAATCATTTCCCCCTAGTTAAGGTAAAACGCAATGTTTCATTTTCTTTCCCCAAGAAGCAGCAAACAAACGAACAATTAACAAATACCCAATTCTTCTCTTCGATTTCCTCAAAGATTTGCTTATATATACGTCTCTGTGTGTGCACATACAATATTCATCTATGCTTTGCGACCAATATATATATTACCAGAGTGTTTGTATGAGTTGAGATTGTAGAGATTGTTGGGCTCTTTGCTGAATCGAACTCCAGCAGTTCCTCTTCCAAATTGCTTCACCAAGAAACAATTGTTCTTCTTCACTACCTCCCAAATCAACTGTCCCGGAACTGTCGCCATTTTTATCTCTTTCCCTGCACCTCGCTGCACCAGATTCAACCCAAATTCAGTAAAATTAAAATCGTCTAAACCAAATCAAACACAAATCTTGATGAAATTGCTGAGCTAAGAATTGAAGAGAGTGCCTGTTCGAATATCAGGGCTTTTAAAGAGACGAAAGAATCAGAGAGGTAAGAGAGGGAGACAAAACATGGGAGGCTTTTATATTAGTGGAAGTAGGGTTTTCTTGGAGTAAATTACGATCACGTCCTTTCACTTCCTTAGTGAAGTTGGTTTCGAAAGCCCGAAAAGTTTCACTTGTATAGTGAAAGCCCAATATAATTCAAGGGTAAACTACGTATTAGTATCTAAATTATCAATTTTGATATGTTTTAGTATTTAAATTTTTCAAGATAATACCTACCGTTTAGTTTTTATTTCATTTTAGTAACTCACCGTAAAAATTTAACGCATTTAGTACCTAAACTATTAATTTTGATCCATTTTATTATCTAAAATTCCAATTTTTTTAAATTTAACGTTAAATTTTGAACATTATGTATTAAAATAAAACAAAAACTAAACTTTAAGTATGACTTTAAAATAATTGAAAGTCTAGTTATTAAAATAGACACCTTGGAGAGGTATATGCGGCTTGTATTCTCCATGGAGAAAGACGGAGAAAACTGGATTTTCCCGTTGAAAGGACAGGGTTTATTCTGTGAACTTCTGATAAGTTAATACTTGAAATATTTGATGAAGTGATTTGTTTATTATTCTACTTTTTTACAAATGCATCCGTTCATTCTATCAATGATGAAATTCTCTTGCAATTCAAGTAGAGCTTTGAATGAATTCCTCGGATTTGTTTAGGATTTATGATTTTATTTTTGTAGGTGAACAGAATCAGAGAACTTCCACAGGACAGCAAGATAGTTGCCACACACACTGATAGCCCTGATGTAAGAATCATTATTTCTCATGTTCTCTTTTGATAAGAGGGAACATATACCATTTATTTCTGTTTACTCGAAGTTTATAAATCATTAGTTCTCCATGTGACTTTAACACATTTCAAAATAGGTCCTCATTTGGGATGTAGAGGCTCAGCCTAATCGCCATGCTGTGTTGGGAGCTACTGATTCTCGTCCAGATCTGGTTTGTACTGGAGGGAATTACGTTTGTGATATTTTCATCAATGCCTTTTTCTTTCTCTTAATTAGTCATAAAAAAATTGACTATATCCATGTACTTATTTGTAGAATTTGCATATTTAGGTGTCCAAAAAGAAAACTGTTATCTTCATATTTAATGATTTATCACAAGTTGTGTAATATTAGCTGTTAATGAACCTTTAGAAAATTAAGATGCAGCATCTTTTCATCAGGTTGCTTTTTAACTTAGAATCTACCATATTGCAGATATTGACTGGACATCAAGAAAATGCCGAGTTTGCTCTTGCCATGTGCCCCCAACTCAACCCTTTGTCCTATCCGGAGGTTTGGATCATTGTTTTACAGTGTTTCTTGGAAGGATTTTTAGCTTTATGACTTAAATAACGGTGATACATGATAATTCTTTATATATAGCTATGATTATTCAATTATCACCAAATTGATATAGTATCATATGTATAGATGTTTACTTTTTCACAGTAATTTTGAAAATAAGAAACTATATTTAATGCAAGTATTGGTCCATTGGAAAAAATATATGGTTCTCTGATTTGCTATGATTATTTGAGTATTACCAAGGCTTAGTCATGAGGAAGTTGTCGTTTAACGAAAGAGACTCTGCAAACATGTTAAGGACTTGAAGTTCAGTTTTGTGTGTGGCTTTTGAGGCACTCGAATGGTCTGTTATAATCATATGTTGGTTTGTTGAGAGGCACTACTGCCATGGGAGATTGTTTTATCTTTGTGCCAAAGTGGATGGTCAATCCTATATACTTTAGAGTACGGCGACATGCAGTATTCCTTCTGGAAAATTAAATAAACCACTCATTGGTTCATGTGCTGGGAACTTAACTATTTTCCTCTCTTCTCTTTTTCATATTGGTTTTCCTCTCAAATAGTCCTGAACGAGGAGATTTTACTTGCAGGAAAGGACAAGTTGGTGGTTTTGTGGAGCATTCATGATCATATCTCTACTCTGGTAAAGGAGCAAGGGCCCGCAATGTCTCTTCATGTTTTGCTATTTCTTTCTTTGATTCACCATTATAAGTATGATTTAAAATCAACAAAAAATTTTAAATTTCTTTTGAATTTATAATCAAATTTGGTGCTTATGGACAAAACCCCATTTTTTCAGTTCTTGGTTCAGTCAAAGACTTGTTTATATATAAAAGACTTCATCGATATATAATAAGAAAATTATAAATTCGAAAGAAATTTAAAATTTCGAATTGATTTTAAATCTTGATTATAACGGTGAACCAAAGAAAGAGCATAGCAAAACATGGAGATTTAATGTGTAAGATTGAGGAAGAAAAGGATGAGACAAAGAAGAAGCGATGATTTTTAATTTAGATTATAATGCTGGATTAAAGAAAGAGTAGAGCAAAACATCATATAAAAATATATAATAAGAAAACAATAAATTCGAAAGAAATTTAAAATTTTGTATTGGTTCCGAATCCTAATTATAATGGTAAATCAAAGAGAGAGAATAGCAAAACATGAAGATGAAGATTTTATGTCTCCTTGTTTCAAGCATGCATTATGGTATGGGTAATAGTGAATTTCTGAAAGACGGCAGAAAAGCATTTCGAGTGGCCTCATTCTCCCATTCTAGCTGTTCCCACCAGTCTGGCCTTCCATGAATGACGATGTGATTCCCTTTGGCGCTGTCAGAGTTGAGAGGAAGCTTCTTCAGTTCTGGGCACTTCCTTACACGAATACGTTTCAGACATGGGAAGGGTAGGGCATCCCTGTATATGCTCTTCAATTCTGGTAGGCGTTCTAAATTAAGATCTTGAAGCTTCAGAAATGGTGTAGGATATGGAATTCTGACCACATCTGCAACTTCTCCAAGTTTTCCCTCACTCAAAACTTCTATTTTTGCACACTCATTTATCCAAAGGGACCTTAGATTTGGAGCAAGAAACAGCCAGGTAACGTCCTTCAATTTGTGACAATGCATAATTGCAACTTCCCTCAATGTGCGGAAGCCTGCAGTATAATTACTACTCGGAGGAAGCCTGGTATGCAGTTTTTCCATTCTCATCTCCATATTTCCACAAGCCCTAAACCATAATATCTCCAGACGCTCCATGTTTTCTAAACATAAAACGTTAAACACTTTTGTCTCCTTAAAATACCATAACTCTAGTGTTTCGATGCTGCATCGAAACAAGCGGAGGCTTAGAACTCTTTCTAGTGCAGACATGCTTTGTATCCCCGGCATCACTAGTATATTCAGATGTTGCAGACTTTTCAATTCCTCTATAAGCTTTTCATTATTGCCCCCATCCAGAACATTGTCTTCCTCCAAACTGCCTCGCACATGCACATTCCGCATCCTCAATATTTGCAGCTTGGAAAAACTAGATATCAAATTCTGTGGGATTCTTCTGAGATGGTGCATGTAACTCAAGTCCAACATTTTCAGTTTTGTCAAGGATTTCAACTCTATTGGCAACGCTCTTATAGCAGTCCCGGATAGATCAAGACATTCTAGAGAAGTCAATTTTGAAATTCCTTTGGGCAGTGTTTCTAAACCCCGGTTTCCTGACAAGTTAAGAACAGTTAGATGAGGCATAAACTGAAAGAAGCCATCACTAATCACTTCAAATTTATTTTCTCCAAGAAACAAAGTTCGAAGGTTAGGGCATTTAGGGGTTCCTCCGAGATCTTCAATCTGATTTTGCATCACCGACATTCTTTTTACACCTTCCCATGCCGTAAGATCTGGCTCCTCTGATAATTGAGCCCCTGCTTTTATAAAAAAACTCTCCTCTTTCTCTTCAACCTCGCATGCAATCCACAAACACATGTCACGGATCACATCGTGCATCTTCACATATTCCTTTCCATCAAATGATTCTTCCACTCTTTCCAATAAACATGCACTAAGAAGAGAGTTGATAATGTGGTCTCCTTGCATTTGAGCTTCGTTAATGATATCAAATTCATTCAACAACCCTTCACAAAACCAATACTCTACTAATCTCCTCTTGGGAATATTATGATCCTCAGGATACAGACAGCAGTACAGGAGGCAGCATTTCATTGTGGAAGACAGATTATCATAACTGAATTTTAAAAGCGGATATACCTCCTTTTCCATTTTAGGTAACGTCGATCGCTTCAACTTCTCGATTGCATATCTCCATTCCCCAGGTGTTGTCTTGCAAGCCATGGCACGAGCAATTGTAATCAGAGCAAGAGGCAGACCAGCGCACTCCTTAGCTACTTGTTCGGCTAATTTCAAAATATCTGGATGGCTGTTGAGGGTTTCATCCCCAACCTTGTCTTGGAATAATTTCCAAGCCTTTTCTGGTTGAAGGCACTCCACTCTTATTTTCTTTTGAGCTTCCATTTCGCCACAAACCTCCAACGAACGAGTAGTGAAAATAAGTTTGGAACCATTTTCTTGGCTTGGTTTTGGAATTCCAACTTTGTTCAAATCCACCCTCTCCCATAAATCATCCAATAATACAACAAATCTCTTGTTGTGCAAGACCCTATAGATATCCTCTGCTTTTTGGTCAACACTTTTATTCTTCCAGCATTCATTCGGAAAACCAATTTTCCCACCAATCCTGTCTTGAATCTTTTCAACATTGTAATCTTTAGACACCAGCGACCAAATTACAATGTCGAAACCCTCTGGTTTGGTGCTGAACTTGTTGTTGATTCGGGTCAAGAGTGTTGTTTTTCCAACGCCTCCTGTGCCGTAGAGGCCAATGATCCCCACACTTTTGTCGACGATGCAGCTCCAAACCTTGCGGATTGTGGATTCAAGAGCAATTGGCCGTTCTTCAGGTCTGACTACAACTGAAGCAGGGAGCTGAGTCTGTGCTACCTCCTCAAAAGATCCTTTATTCATATGATCTTTCATTTCTTCAAGCTTTTCGGCCACCTTTTTCCCGAACTTGTAGGTAGACAGGCAATTCGTGGAAACGCAGCCACCGAGACACAAGTTGTTTATTTCTACAGGGCCATCAGCAATTAATCTCTCTGCCTCTGTTATAATAGTTTCTGCGTTTGAAAGCCATAGCTGAACTTGCTCCAGTCGCTTCAGTTGTCGTCGTTCAGCCAGATCAACCTTTGTTTGCACGTCATCCCTTTGTGCCTTCAGTTCATCAAGAGCAGCAGACAAAGCTGGAAGAGTTTGTTTAAGCTTGCAGACGTAACTAGCATGCCCTACAGTGGAATCCCAACCACGAATGAGAATATTCTCGAAACTAAATTGTACAGAGAAGCAATTTCCCATGGTCCTGGTAAATACTTGGGGCCTTCAAAATCAAACTAGATTTCCTGGTGAGAGGATCTGGAATTTGATGATCGAGTAAATTTGAACACACACAAAAACAATCTAGAGATTGATTTTTGTTATGGAGGAAAGGCGAAACAAAAACAACAAAGAAGAAATCAAAGTTGAACTAAAAGGATGAGAAAGCTTCACAAAGAAATTGCTGGGAAATAAAGGATGCGTTTTTGGTTTTGGTTTGGAAGGTGAGTAGTAGCTAGTAGGCAAAGGATTTGTGTTATGAGATTACTGCATAATGCAGAGAAAACCCTTCAACTTGCAATAAAAAAGGGATCCAAAGTACGATTTTTTGTTATTTTTTTTCTTTTTCAATTGTGCCATAGTGGATTGGTGAGAAAAGAGGAATCTTTTTCTGCAACTAGTTGGCCTGTGCATGGCCCCATGACAGAAAGGTCACGCAGACTTGATAAGAATCAATACAAAGTACAAACAAGAGCTGTTTGATTGAGAAGAAAACAGGAAACCACTCTAACACCAACACTTTCCTTGAAGTTGTGTAAAGGGATTTGATGTCTTTGAAGCCTTGTTTCAAATTCAATTATTTGCAAGACTTTTCCCCTACATTTACATTTCTTTGAAGCCCTTCAACAATGATGGGCATTTTTCTATTTTCAATACAGAAAAAAAGAATCTTTCTCTGCAACTAGTTGTTATTAATTGGTCTGTGCATGGCCCATCCGTTTATTTTGCAATTACTACAACGGTGTTCTTTCTTCTTCTTCTTCTTCTTCTTCTTATAGTAGGTAGGGTACCCTACCCTATACTAAACCTTCTTTGAGACATGTAAACAATGCACTTCATGGAAGAATCCAACCAACCATTTGGAATGTGCATGCAGTGAAATGCTAGTTACTACATCATGCATCATTCTTTAGCGAAAAGTGATATGTTAAGCAAGAGCAAGTGCTGAATATCCCGAAACGATGAAAACATGGCCATTCTATTCATCATCATTAAGGCTAAAACATTTCAAAAAGTCCATCACCTTAGAATCCAAGTAGCAGGCATATTAAACTTAGAATATTGTGCAGGCAATTTATCATGTGCAGAGGGGAATACTTATACAAGTGGGTATTTTCCTTGAACAAAGTGGATTACTTATTGGTTTTAGTCCGTTTACTTTCAGTTTTTTCAAAATCATACCTAATGCTTAGTTTTTATTTCGTTTTTAGTACCTCGTCATTAAAAACTTAACGGATGATTTGCATGTGGCACTTTTTTATGGGTAAATTACATCATTCATCACTCAACTATCCTCACACTCCTATTGTGGTCACTAAAGTTTAATTTTTTTAAATTTAATTACTTAACTTTCAAATTACTCCTTATTTAATCACTATAACTTTCAAATTTATTTTTAATTTTTAATTATATATTAATGAAATAATAATAAAAAATGTCATGTCACAAAAATTATTAATAAAATAAATTAGAGTGATTAGAATATGAGCAATTTGAAAGTTGAGTAGTTAAATTGAAAATTTTTAAACTTCAATACCAAAATAGGGTGAGAAGATAGTTGGGTATTGAATGATGTAATTTACCCATAAAAAATTCAGTGACGATAAGTTTTTAACGATGAAATACTAAAATAAAACAAAAATTAAATGCTAGGTATGATTTTGAAAAAAATTAAAAGTTTTAGTACTAAAATAAATTAAAATTGATAGTTTAAGTATTAAATGTATAATTTACCTCAACATTGAACTCTTATTTAACATTTTTGAAAAGTTAGATCCTTAGTTAATAAGTGATCTCTAAAACATTAGGTCCTTATTTGAGTGTTTAACCAAATTCTAACGAATTAAAGTAAATGATTAGAGTCCACTTAGAAGCACACAAAATCTTTCTTTGGCATTAATGGTAGCCAAAAGTCCACGTAGAGCCATACAATATCTCTATGAACCACTTTTTTATCACACACAAAAAAAAAACCCCGAATTGTTCAGCTACTGGTTCTTTCAATGGCGGTTCCTCTTTCCAATGGGTTCACACGACTAGCCATCTCCCCTCCTACCCGGTTCAGGAATCGGTCCACCGTTTCCGCCACTTTATCCCCTTCCCGGCTTGATTCTGTGAATCGATATTCATTAAATCCAGGTGAAATCTCCATCCTAGTGGTGATTAAAAAAAGCAAGCATGGAAAAATAATCAAATTCCTTCACGCAACTACACCGAACTATCACCCCCAAAGACTTTGATTTATTTTTCCAAGTGGTCTTCGTATGATGTCAGGTCATGGGCCATGCACAAACCAGTACAACCAACTAGTTGCAGAGGGAGATTCCTCCTTTGTTTCCAATAATTGAAAATAGACAAATACGCCATCATTGTTGAAGTAATCTCATAGCACAAATCCTTTGCCCACTATACTTCCAAACCAAAAGCACCCACTAGTCTTACCAGAACGATGGCAATTGCTTCTCGGTACAATTTAGTTTCGAGAATATCCTCATTCGTGGCTGGGATTCCATTGCTGGGCATGCTAATTACGTACGCAAGCTTAAACAAACTCTTCCAGCATTGTCTGCTGCTCTTGAAGAGCTGAGGGTACAAAAGAATGACGTGCAACGGGAGGTTGATCTGGCCGAACAGCGACAACTAGTTAATTACTACAACCGTGTTCTGTCTTCTTCTTCTTATAGTAGGTAGGGTAGCCTACCCTATTGTAAAGTCAAAAAGGTAGGCGGGGGCATGGTTTTTTTTCAAAGCCAATATCATTTTTTCAACAAAGGGGCACCGAATTCGGTGTCCTAATTTGTTAATTAAATTATAAATGAATTAATTATTTTTTTAGCAACTGCACACTTTAGGATATTTATAAGATTGGTCTTTAAGCTTAAGTTATAAATATCCTAGTCCATTTAGTTTCAAAATCATCTCAAAACATTTCTTTCTTCCTATACTAGAGAGCTTTCTTGTGAGTAGTGAGTGTTTTGTAAACACCTGTAAAATTTCTCTCTTAGTAAAAGATCTGCAGCAGCCCGAAGACGTAAGCACAATTGGCTGAACTCCGTTATCAATTTTTGGGTATTATTTTTCCGCTTTTATTTCGCATTCTCACTAATCTGGTTATAGGGAAATTACTTGTTGTACTCGTTTATTTCCTAACAACTGACATCAGAGCTTTTGGTTGTGAATTCTGTCAATTTTTTGCGATGTTACTATTCGAGTTACTATTCACTTGAATAGTGAATTTCGTGAATGGTAAATTTCGTGAATAGTAAAATTCGGTCGGCGATACGAGTTTGTCGACGGAGGTGTTCTAATACACGACGGTTCGTAGAAATTGTATCCAAACGAAGCCAGATTCGAGTGGGAGCGATGGCTGCAGACGAAGGGAAGGTGAAAATTGAAAAGTTCGATGGTGTGGACTTTGGATTTTGGAAGATGCAAATTGAAGATTTTCTGTATCAGAAAAATCTATATCAACCCCTCTCAGGAAAACAACCAGAGGGCATGAAGAATGAAGATTGGACTCTTCTCGACAGGCAAGCCCTTGGAGTTATCCGACTGACGTTATCCCGCAATGTTGCTTTCAACATACCAAAGGAAAAGATCTCGGCGGGTCTTATAGCTGCTCTCTCCAGTATGTACGAGAAGCCATCGGCCTCAAACAAAGTTCATTTGATGAGGCGATTATTCAATTTGCGGATGGCGGAAGGGGCATTGGTGGCACAACACCTAAATGAACTCAACACAATCACAACCCAATTGAGTTCAGTGGAAATTGAGTTCGATGATGAAGTTCGAGCTTTAATTCTCTTATCATCTCTACCAAACAGTTGGAATGCTACTGTTACAGCAGTCAGCAGCTCGTCGGGAAACAGCAAATTGAAATTCGACGATGTTCGGGATCTGGTATTGAGTGAAGAAATTCGACGGAGAGAATCGGGTGAAGCATCAAGCTCCTCAGCCTTGCACACGGAGTCTAGAGGGAGAACTTCAGAAAGAAATTCAATTCGTGGCAGATCCAAATCCAGACGGGGAAAATCAAGAACAGGAAATAAAGATTTTACCTGTTATAATTGTGGCAAGAAGGGTCACTTCAAAAGAGATTGCCGAGCACCGAAGAAAAATACCGGCGCACAGGAATCTGCAAACATGACGGAGGAGACAGGTGATGCCATGATTTTAAGCGTCAACAGTCCGATTGAATCATGGATCTTGGATTCAGGGGCATCTTTCCACTCTACCCCATGCCGAGAAATCATGGAGAACTATGTCAGTGGTGATTTTGGGAAGGTTCATCTAGCTGATGATGAAACCTTGAAGATCGTCGGAAAAGGAGACATCCGATTAAAGCTGCCAAACCAGACCACCTGGACGCTGAAAGGTGTGAGACATATTCCTGGTCTCAAAAGAAATTTGATTTCTATTGGACAGCTTGATGGAGAAGGATATAGTACAACCTTTTCAGGCTGTGAATGGAAGATTACCAAAGAAGCACTCGTCATTGCTCGTGGTAAGAAGACTGGTACTCTCTATGTAACCTCAAACTTAGAGAATATCATTGCTACAGCAGATGCTGATGGAAAATCAAACCTATGGCACCAAAAGCTTTGCCATATGAGCGAGAAAGGGATGAATATACTTTTGTCAAAAGGGAAGCTACCAAATCTAAAGAATGTAGATGTCGGACTATGCGAGGATTGCATCTTTGGCAAACAAAAGAAAGTCAGTTTTGCAAAGATTGGCAAGACACCCAAGGCAGAAAGGTTAGAATTGGTTCATACTCATGTACAAAGACAGGTCAACCGCAGAATCAAGTAATACCGAAGCTGAAACAAAGAAATTTGCTGAGTTCGAGGAGATTTTTGGAAATGATGTTCAGATCAGTCCTGAAGCAGTTCAAGAGGAAGAACCAGGCACACCAGAACTGAGACGCTCCTCCAGAATTCCTAAACCAACCCAACGGTATTCGCCTTATTTGCACTACTTGTTGCTGACTGACAATGGTGAATCAGAGTGCTATGATGAAGCAATGCAAGTGGAGGATTCAGTCAAGTGGGAGTCTTCCATGAAAGATGAGATGGACTCGCTTATGTCAAATCAGACGTGGGAATTAGCTGAATTACCACCAGGCAAGAAAGCACTCCACAACAAGTGGATTTACAGGATCAAAAAATGTCATGTCACAAAAATTATTAATAAAATAAACTAGAGTGATCAGAATAGGAGTAATTTGAAAGTTGAGTAGTTAAATTGAAAACTTTAAACTTCAATACCAAAATAGGGTGAGAAGATAGTTGGGTGATGAATGATGTAATTTACCCATAAAAAATTCAGTGACGATAAGTTTTTAACGATGAGGTACTAAAATGAAACAAAAATAAAAATGCTATGTATGGTTTTAAAAAAATTGAAAGTTTAGGTACTAAAATAAATTAAAATTGATAGCTTAAGTCCTAAATGTGTAATTTACCTCAACATTGAACTCTTATTTAACATTTTTGAAAAGTTAGATCCTTAGTTAATAAGTGATCTCTAAAACATTAGGTCCTTATTTGAGTGTTTAACCAAATTCTAACAAATTAAAGTAAATGATTAGAGTCCACTTAGAAGCACACAAAATCTTTCTTTGGCATTAATGGTAGCCAAAAGTCCACGTAGAGCCATACAATATCTCTATGAACCACTTTTTTATCACACACAAAAAAAAACCCCGAAATTTTCAACTACTGGTGCTTTCAATGGCGGTTCCTCTTTCCAATGGGTTCACTCGACTAGCCATCTCCCCTCCTACCCGGTTCAGGAATCGGTCCACCGTTTCCGCCACTTTATCCCCCTTCCCGGCTTGATTCTGTGAACTGGGTCGAAGCCACTTCCAGCTTCTTCGACCAAGACACTAGGCCCATCATGTTGTTCGATGGTATCAAAGCTCCCATTTTTAATTAGAACCAGACATGTTCACTTCAAAATTTGTCATTTTTGTTCTGTTTTGTTTCGACAGGAGTTTGCAACTTATGTAATGGAGGCGTCAGGTTTGTTCGTGACGTCGATCGGAACAGGTCGGTTAAACTAAGAAATTGTTGTTTAAACCCCAATATGTTTCTGCTATCTGTTTGTTCATACATTGTGATTATTGATTCTGGTCGTAGTTATTCGATGTATTGATTGTAATTGTAATTCGGTTTGCGACTATAATCGTGATCCATGTTCGATGATTTTTCGCCTTTTCCATGATAATAGGAGAATAAGGTTCGAAGCTCTTCAAAGTGAAGCAGGGAAGAAGCTACTGAGGAGATCTGGAAGAGCTCCTGATGATATTTCCAGTGTTGTTCTTGTTGAAAAAGATAGGTAAAGTTTTTGATCATTAACCGCTAACTGGCAAGTTCCTATCCCGGAATCGTATCGTTTCGATATCGAAAGCATAATATCGGTGTTTCCTATGGTCGTCCGCTTAATCTCAAGGTTGATAGACACCCGGCTTATGGACATGTAGTAGTAGTACCTCGCCGGTCGTTAAGTCGTTACGCTTTCCGACTCGATTCCGTTTACCGTCTTTAAACCTTAAACTCGTTGATGGAATTTCAGATCATATATTAAATCAGAAGCAGTGTTGAAGATCATGGAATACCTGGAATTGCCTTTCCCTCAGCTTGCATTCTTCATTCAATTCATACCCCTGTAAGTCATCCCCTTCTGCTTCTCAATGGAGATCTCTGTCATCATTTCTTTGTTTTCGATTTGCACCGATTGCAGGTTCGTAAGGGACTTCATGTACGACAACGTCGCCAACAACCGGTATGCGATTTTCGGGTATTCGGAATCGTGTGAGATATGAAGCTATACAATGAATAGTAAGTCATATATAACACAAAAATGGAGGGCGTCGTGATAAGCCCTGCTGTATATGAGTCCTGATGTTTCATCCAGTTTCTCGACCATATATATTGTAAACTATGAAAGATCTCACCGTTAATTTGATACATATATTAAGCATTCATCGTGTTTAAATGTGTCGGTGTCGTGTTTATTACATTGTTTTATCCTGCTGTATACGAATCGTGATGTTTAAACATATAATAATCCTATAGTGATCCAGAGTTCTAACTCTGCATCGTGAAACCTTGTCGAAATGTACCTAAAACTCGAATTTTCGCTGCACATATACATGTAATGGTCTCCTAATGCACCATGCAAGGTTTGTTTTAAATAGTTTTGCCTGCAAGTAGCCTCTCTAAGCCAACTGCAAATCTGCAAAAAAGAAGCAGAGAGTAAGCTGAAAGTCGGGTTAATTTCGGTTTCGAAACCTTCAGTAGATCAGATAACTTACCCGATTATCAAGAGGACTAAAGCGATACCAAATAACACATATTGGTACAATCTGTGCTTTGGGACTTTATGTTTTATCCGATATCCCTCTGGAACGTGCCTCGGGCTTATGTACTCAAACTGTGGTCGTATTAGAAGGACAAATCCAGCGAGTAGTCCGGAGATGAACCCTCCTATATGAGCTGAGTTATCAACTTGAGGTAGAAAACCTACGGCTAGGTTCAGGCAAATAATCAACACCATGGTTGACAGAGCTGAACACTGAATAGACACGAGTTAGAACTCATACCCCCGACGAAGAGGAGATTGCAGATGTTGTGATTACCTTGTTTGTATAGTTCGACCAGTTTGTAATAAGTTCGGAAAGCATGGCTCCCAGCAGGCCGAAAAGTGCACCGGATGCTCCGACCGAGATGGTTTTTTTCCGACCTTGGGATAGTGCAGACGCCAAGCTCCCACCGAGGCCGGAAATCATGTACAGTGGTCCGATCCTCACTGCAATCATTTACGTAACTCGGAATTATTTTCGGAAATAAAAACATTTGTCAGTATAACATTTTATGAAATCAAGTTCATACAAAATCCAAATTCTTGCTCCAGCCGGATTCCAAGGAACAAAAGGCTCATCATATTAACCGCCAAATGGATAACACCAGCATGATACCACATGCAGGATACGAGACGCCAATATTCCTTATCTTCTACCACTAGTTTCCAATCAAGGGCTCCTAGTTTCTTCAGCCTGCAGTTCAACCCCAAAATCATACATTCATGTATGTGTGCATGTATGCATGCATCAGAGAAACAGATTCTTACGTGATGCATGAAGGGCCGAGAAGAGGGTTTTCTTGAAAACGTTGAAACGAAAACCTTCCCAGATATGCATACCAAAGACAATTTTCGGGACCGGATGTATGTGGACAATCATTGACGTACATGGTATAAACAAATACTGCAACATCGGCCACAAACACGAGAGACATTAGCCATGGTGTCCATGGTTCAGGGGCCGGTGGCGGAGGAGGCATTTCCCTCTCATTTTGCGGCCCTTCGTTGGCGGTTCTGTTCTCAATATCTTGTGTCGGTGATGACGATGACGACGGTGGCGTCCGCCCCTGCCCCATGACCTAGAGGAAGTGACGTTGAACGAAATGGCAGCCAATGCTGCCGCTGCTTGGACGGGGTGGTGGTGGTGGTGGTGGTTGGAGGTGCGATTATGCACCCAAGGAAGGCAAAGAGAAACGAGGCAGAAATGTAGAGGATTTGGGTGGCAATGAAAGGAATTTGCTATGTTGGTAGTTTGTTAAATTTTGGTTTTCTTGACAAAATTATCTTATATATTATGTATATATATATATATATATATATATATATATATATATATATATATATATATATATATATATATACACACACACTAGATTTTATGCGCGGGATTAAATTGAATTTTAATTATATTAAATGGATGATTATTTAACCAGTTCGAGTCATTGTGTATGTAGAAATTTCTGCTGGAGACTCGCCTACCAAAGTCAAGTGCGTAATGTGGGTCGGTCCGGACTAGTCAAGGGAAACCCTTGAAATTGAAAGGACAAAAAAATTGTATGATATTATTTTAAACACGAGTTAATTACATCATATATCCTTATACTATGATCTTTATTTCAAATTAGACTCTAAACTTTTGAATATTCCAATTTCATCCCTAAACTATGGCTCCCATTCTAAATTAATCCTTAAACTTTTGAACATTCTAATTTCATCTCCAAATGATCACATTCACTCTGAATTGGTTCCTAAATTTTTTTGGTATTTCAATTTTATCACCAAATTATAACACGCAGTTTAAATTGATTACAAATTATTAAGCATTCTAGTTTCATCCCTAAACTACCAATATAAACTAACTATTCCCCATGTTCATAAAATTGTGTGCATTGATTAAGTTGTTATTAGAGATAATAATGGATCAGGTTAGATTTTTGGTCCACCCGAAAATTAAAGTCCTCCACCTATATGTATATATATTCATTTTTATCAGATAAAATAAGGAGTTAATTGAAAATAATAGAAAAGATTATTAATATTATATGGGATCGGATCAAATCTTTCTCACCCTAAACTCAAATCATCACACCCTACGTCCCAATCAATTCAAATCCAAATTTCAAATTAAAAAATCGACCTGATCGAGTTGAATCGATATTCATTAAATCCAGGTGAAATCTCCATCCTAGTGGTGATTAAAAAAAGCAAGCATGGAAAAATTATCAAATTCCTTCACGCAACTACACCGAACTATCACCCCCAAAGACTTTGATTTATTTTTCCAAGTGGTCTTCGTATGATGTCAGGTCATGGGCCATGCACAAACCAGTACAACCAACTAGTTGCAGAGGGAGATTCCTCCTTTGTTTCCAATAATTGAAAATAGACAAATGCGCCATCATTGTTGAAGTAATCTCATAGCACAAATCCTTTGCCTACTATACTTCCAAACCAAAAACACCCACTAGTCTTACCAGAACGATGGGCAATTGTTTCTCGGTACAATTTAGTTTCGAGAATATCCTCATTCGTGGCTGGGATTCCATTGCTGGGCATGCTAATTACGTACGCAAGCTTAAACAAACTCTTCCTGCATTGTCTGCTGCTCTTGAAGAGCTGAGGGTGGAAAAGAATGACGTGCAACGGGAGGTTGATCTGGCCGAACAGCGACAACTGAAGCGACTCGATCTAGTTCAGCTATGGCTTTCAAAAGCGGCAACTATGATAACAATGTCGGAAAATTTGATTGCAGATGGCCCTCGAGAAGTAAACAACTTGTGTCTCGGCGGCTGCACTTCCAAGACTTGCCTGTCTAGCTATAAGTTCGGGAAAAAAGTGGCCATAGTGCTTCAAGAAATAAATGATCATATCAATAAAGGAGCTTTTGAGAAGGTAGCTGTGAATCAGCCTGCAGCTTCAGTGGCATTAAGACCTGAGGAGCGGCCAATTGCTCTTGAATCCACACTCGACAAGGTATGGAGCAGCATCGTCGACAAAGATGTGGGGATCATTGGCCTATACGGCATAGGAGGCGTTGGAAAGACAACACTCTTGACCCAAATCAACAACAAATTCAGCACCACGCCTAATGATTTCAATGTCGTAATTTGGACGTTGGTGTCTAAAGATTACAATGTTGAAAAGATTCAAGAGAGGATTGGTGGGAAAATTGGTTTTCCGAATGAATGCTGGAAGAATAAAAGTGTTGACCAAAAAGCAGAGGATATTTATGGAGTCTTGCACAACAAGAAATTTGTTTTATTATTGGATGATTTATGGGAGAGGGTCGATTTGAATAAAGTTGGGATTCCAAAACCAAGCCAAGAAAATGGTTCCAAACTTATTTTCACTACTCGATCGTTTGAGGTTTGCGGTGAAATGGAAGCTCGAAAGAAAATTAAAATGGAGTGTCTGGAACCAGAAGAGGCTTGGAAATTGTTCCAAGACAAGGTTGGAGATAAAACACTCAATAGCCATCCAGATATCCCGAAACTAGCTGAACAAGCGGCCAAAGAGTGTGGTGGGCTGCCTCTTGCACTGATTACAATCGGTCGTGCCATGGCATGTAAGACAATACCTGGGGAATGGAAATATGCAATCGAGAAGTTGAAGCGATCAGCGTTACCCAAAATGAAAAATGAGGTATTTCCGCTTTTAAAATTCAGTTATGATAATTTGACTCCCACAATGAAATGTTGCCTCCTATACTGTTGTCTGTATCCTGAAGATCATAATATTCCAACGAAAACATTAGTGGAGTATTGGTTTTGTGAAGGGTTTTTGAATGAATTTGATAGAATTAGTGAAGCTCAAATGCAAGGAGTCCATATTATCAATTCTCTTCTTAATGCATGCTTATTGGAAAGAGCAGAAGAATCATTTTATAGAGAAGAATATGTGAAGATGCATGATGTGATCCGTGACATGTGTTTGTGGATAACATGTGAACTCGAAACAGAAAAGAATGATTTTTTTGTGAAAGCAGGGGCTCAGTTATTTGAAGAGCCAGATGTTAAGGCATGGGAAGGGGCAAAAAGAATGTCGGTGATGCAAAATCATATTAAAATTCTCAGAGAAACACCTAAATGCCCTAACCTTCGAACTTTGTTTCTTAGAAAAAATGAGTTGCAGGTCATCAGCAATGGATTCTTTCAGTTTATGCCACATCTGACTGTTTTGAACTTGTCAGAAAACGATGGCTTACACGTATTGCCCGAGGGGATTTCACAATTGGCTTCGCTAGAATGTCTTGATCTATCCGGGACTGGTATAACAGAGTTGCCCATAGGGTTGAAATCCTTGACAAAACTGAAAATGTTGGACTTGAATCACATGGTGCATCTCAGAAGAATCCCACGGAATTTGATATCTAGTTTTTCGAAGCTGCAGATATTCAGGATGTGGTATCTGCTAAGCGGAGATTATCCGAAGGAAGACAATGTTCTGGATGGTGGTAATAATGAAAAGCTTATAGAGGAATTGAAATGTCTGCAACATCTGAATATACTAAGGCTACCACCGATACAAAGCATGATTGCTCTAGAAAGCTTTCTAAGCCTGCACTTGCTTCGATGCTGCACCGAAGCACTAGAGTTGTGGTATTTTAGGGAGTCAAATGTGTTTAATGTTTTATGTTTAGAGAACATGGAGCGTCTAGAGAGATTAGATATCATGGGATGTGAAAACATGGAGGAAATGAAAATGGGAGAACTGCATATCAGGTTCTCTCTGATTGCAGATTATACTTCACGTTTTCACGCATTGAGAGAAGTTGCAATTTCGTTTTGTCACAAACTGAAGGACGTTACCTGGCTGATTCTTGCTCCGAATCTAAGGTCGATTTCGCTATCGCATTGTGCGAAAATGGAAGAAATATTAAGCGAGGGAAGAGTAGGAGAAGTTGCAGATGTGGTCGGAATTCTATACCCTGCACCATTTCTGAAGCTTGAAATTATTTTTCTTTGTGAACTACCAGAACTGAAGAGCATACACTGGGATGCACTACCCTTCCCATGTCTGAAAAGCATTTCCATATACGACTGTCCAAAACTGAAGAAGCTTCCTGTCAATTCTGACAGCCAAAAAGTGAATCACATCAGCATTGAGGGAAGCCAAGATTGGAGGGCAGAGCCAGAATGGGAGAATGAAGCCACTCCACATGCTTTTCTGCCTCTTGATGGATGATATGCACGTAATTCTATTTGATTTTCTGTCCTAAGGGGTTTTGGGATATCAAAAGTTAGTAGTATTAATAGTGTTTGGATGGAAAGTCGCCATGACGCCCTTCCTGTTGGTGCCAAACTCTGGGCGATTGGAATCGTTAATGGGGTGTGCTCCCTCTGCAGAAGAGAATAAGATGTTAGAAATTTTGATTTCTAATGTTGATTTATATAATTTAAGTAATTGTTAATTGTTGTTGTTATACACACAATAATGATTAGTCCAGTATTAAAGAGATAATTATTGGGTGTAAATACTTTCGTCTTATACCGTGAAAATATAAGTCTGAGTAGGGTTGTATGTAATTGAAAACTAAAATGGTTTTTTCGGTTTTTTTTTTATTTTGTGATTTTAAAAACATAATAAAATCAGTTTTTTAAAACCGATAGTTTTTTTTAAGGCTTTCTCTTTTTTCTCTCTTTAAAGAAAACAAGAACATTATTTGTTTTGAGGTTTTGATTTTTTCATCAATAATCAAACAATTCTTGATATCAGGCGAATTAAGAATTATACGGTATTTGAATTAAATAACATTTATTATTTCTTGTTTTTGAGATATTCAATTATTATAATGGGATCATCAAACAAGTTTTCATTTCTTTTATTGTAATTCTTAATAATTATGCCATTAGATTGATTTGGTTGATTTAATTACCTTAGCAAGATCCTTATGTTAATTGCTTCATCTTGCAAGATCAATTGATTTTAACATAAGAAAATTTGATCCGCGCATTAATAGATTGTCATTTTACTCAAGAGGTTCTCTTGCTCTCCAAGCTTGACCCTCGATGTTTAAATGGCGAGTTCCAGTCAAGCAAAGCTTGGATGGAGTCTGCTGTGATGGCCCTTACAAGGTTTTACTGTTGATCTGGAATCTCTGGAACAGGAGAAATAAATGGATTCATGTGGGGTTTCTCCAACCTGCTAAGGAAGTAGTTGAAGCAGTGTGGCTCATTGGGGGCTGATTTTATTGAAGCTTCTCGTTCCGATAACAACCCTTCCTTTTCCTGGTCTGCTGTTGCTTATAAAAAGTGGTCGTAGCCTCCTCCTAACTTCATCAAAGTCAACGTTGATGGAGCCTTACTCCCCGACTCCATATCTGCTGCATTTGGAGTTATTGCTAGAGATCACAACGGTATGGTGATTGGTGGACACGTGAGGAGACTGTCGGGCTCTTTTGACGCTTAACTGGTTGAGGCGATGGCAATGACAGCTGGTATTGAATTGGCTCGTGAGAATGGCTGGTCTTCTGTCGTCTTTCAAAGTGATTCTTATGCGGTGGTTAACAAGATCCTCTATCCCCATCTGGACCTGTCTGTCCCTGGTTTCCATCTCCATCGTTATTGAGGAGGAAGCTAACTTCAAAATTAATTACACTCCTAGGTCTGCTAATCGAGTCGCTCATGAGTTAGCAAAATAGGTGTTAGCTTGTAGTTCTCCAGTATGGTTTGTGCATGATTACCCTGATTGTATTGCAAACAGTGTTGTACTCGAAGCCATTGGTTTAGTTTAATTGAATGAATTTCCTTTTCTAAAAAAAAAAGATGAGTAATTTACCCATCTTCGCCACTCGAATCCTCCTCCTCAGCAAACTTGAAACTTTTCTGATTGTTGTTGAGATTAGGACCGTTCTTCATGTCTTTCAACTAAGGCAACTTCAGATCTAGAAACCTTTTCATTTGTTGAAGCTGTTGAAGATGCTGCTGCAATTGTTGAGGCGTTGGCTGGCCTCCTTTGGGTGGCTGGTTATTGGTGCTCCCTTTCGGCCCTTGCATGTTTCCCAGATTTTTCAGGCTTCTTGATGAGAACATCTGGGTTTACATTCCCCAGTATTCATGATGATGAATAGAATGGCCATGTTTTCATCGTTTCGGGATATTCAGCACTTGCTCTTGCTTAACATATCACTTTTCACTAAAGAATGATGCATGATGTGGTAACTAGTAACTAACATTTCACTGCATGCACATTCCAAATGGTTGGAAGAATTTTAGGTTGGTTGGATTCTTCCATTAAGTGCATTGTTTACATGTCTCAAAGAAGGTTTAGTATAGGGTAGGCTACCCTGCCTACTATAAGAAGAAGAAAGAACACCGTTGTAGTAATTGCAAAATAAACGGACGGGCCATGCACAAACTCGGTTAGAGTGTTGGTGTTAGAGTGGTTTCCTTTTTTCTTCTCAATCAAACAGCTCTTGTTTACTGCAAGTTGAAGGGTTTTCTCTGCATTATGCAGTAATCTCATAGCACAAATCCTTTGCCTAATCGCTACCACTCACCTTCCAAACCAAAACCAAAAACGCATCCTTTATTTCCCAGCAATTTCTTTGTGAAGCTTTCTCATCCTTTTAGTTCAACTTTGATTTCTTCTTTGTTGTTTTTGTTTGGCCTTTCCTCCATAACAAAAATCAATCTCTAGATTGTTTTTGTGTGTGTTCAAATTTACTCGATCATCAAATTCCAGATCCTCTCACCAGGAAATCTAGTTTGATTTTGAAGGCCCCAAGTATTTACCAGGACCATGGGAAATTGCTTCTCTGTACAATTTAGTTTCGAGAATATTCTCATTCGTGGTTGGGATTCCACTGTAGGGCATGCTAGTTACGTCTGCAAGCTTAAACAAACTCTTCCAGCTTTGTCTCCTGCTCTTGATGAACTGAAGGCACAAAGGGATGACGTGCAAACAAAGGTTGATCTGGCTGAACAACGACAACTGAAGCGACTGGAGCAAGTTCAGCTATGGCTTTCAAACGCAGAAACTATTATAACAGAGGCAGAGAGATTAATTGCTGATGGCCCTGTAGAAATAAACAACTTGTGTCTCGGTGGCTGCGTTTCCATGAATTGCCTGTCTACCTACAAGTTCGGGAAAAAGGTGGCCGAAAAACTTGAAGAAATGAAACATCATATGAATAAAGGATCTTTTGAGGAGGTAGCACAGACTCAGCTCACTGTGCTACCTCCTTCAGTTGCAGTAAGACCTGAAGAACAGCCAATTGCTCTTGAATCCACAATCCGCAAGGTTTGGAGCTGCATCGTCGACAAAAGAGTGGGGATCATTGGCCTCTACGGCACAGGAGGCGTTGGAAAAACAACACTCTTGACCCGAATCAACAACAAGTTCAGCAACAAACCAGAGGGTTTCGACATTGTAATTTGGTCGCTGGTGTCTAAAGATTACAATGTTGAAAAAATTCAAGACAGGATTGGTGGGATAACTGGTCTTTCTGATGAATCATGGGTGAATAAAAGTGTTGAGCAGAAAGCTGTATGTATCTATGGGGTCTTGCGAAACAAGAAATTCGTTCTATTATTAGATGATTTATGGGAGAGGGGTGGATTTGAACAAAGTTGGAATTCCAAAACCAACCCAAGAAAATGGCTCCAAACTTATTTTCACCACTCGTTCGTTGGAGGTTTGTGGCGAAATGGAAGCTCGAAAGAAAATAAGAGTGGAGTGCCTTCAACCAGAAAAGGCTTGGAAATTATTCCAAGACAAGGTTGGGGATGAAACCCTCAACAGCCATCCAGACATTTTGAAATTAGCCGAACAAGTAGCTAAAGAGTGCGCTGGGCTGCCTCTTGCTCTGATTACAATTGGTCGTGCCATGGCTTGCAAGACAACACCTGGGGAATGGAGATATGCAATCGAGAAGTTGAAGCGATCGACGTTACCTAAAATGGAAAAGGAGGTATATCCGCTTTTAAAATTCAGTTATGATAATCTGTCTTCCACAATGAAATGCTGCCTCCTGTACTGCTGTCTGTATCCTGAGGATCATAATATTCCCAAGAGGAGATTAGTAGAGTATTGGTTCTGTGAAGGGTTATTGAATGAATTCGATAGAATTAGTGAAGCTCAAATGGAAGGAGACCACATTATCAACTCTCTTCTTAGTGCTTGTTTATTGGAAAGAGAAGGATCACCGCTATGTGTAAAGATGCATGATGTGATCCGTGATATGTGTTTGTGGATAGCATGCGAGCTTGAAGAGAAAGAGGAGAGTTTTTTTATAAAAGCAGGGGCTCAATTATCAGAGGAGCCAGATCTTACGGCATGGGAAGGTGCAAAAAGAATGTCGGCGATGCAAAGTCATATTGTAGCTCTCAGAGGAACCCCTAAATGCCCTAACCTTCAAACTTTGTTTCTTGGGGAAAATACGTTGCAGTTCATCGACGACGGTTTTTTTCAGTTTATGCCTCATCTAACTGTTTTGGATTTGTCGAAGAACACAAATTTAGAAGCACTACCAAAGGGAATTTCACAGTTGATTTCTCTAGAATGCCTTGATCTATCCTCGACTGGTATAGCAGAGTTGCCAATGGAGTTGAAATCTTTGACAAAACTGAAAATGTTGGACTTGACTCGCATGAACGATCTCAGAAGAATCCCACAGAATTTGATATCTAGTCTTTCCAAGTTGCAAATATTCAGATTGTGGGTTCATCGCGTAAATTACCCGCGGAAAGACAATGTTCTGGATGGGGATGAAAATGGAAAACTTCAGGAGGAATTGAAAAGTCTGCAACATTTGGATATACTAGAGATAAAACGGTTGGGAATATTTAAAATGTTATGTAAATAAATAAATAAATAAATAAAATTCCCGGTTGGGAATATTTTTGAAATAAAGTTATGATAATAAATGTATGATATATACTATAGCTTTTGAAATAAAAGTAAGTGTATTTTTTAAATAAATCTTTTGTTTCAAGGACATTTTAGTCCAAGTTGAAGGGAAACAAAAAATACCCAAGTCCACCATGATATTAGCATTCCCAGTGAAATTTGAAAAAATTTACTATTGGGAATATTTTATTACTCCCTATTGAGAATCTTGCCCATCCAAATGTGGGTATCACAATGAGGAAAAAATATTTCTACCAGTAATGTTGAAATACATGATCCAAACTCCCCCTCAAGGTGTATTTTTTACACATGGAGAAACCTGATAGAGTCACGTCGTAATTTTTTAAGGATAAACGTAGAAGAACCAAAGTGATAATAAACTTAAAATTTGAAGGACCAAACAAACCAAATTTTTTTTAAAAAAAATTCATTAGTATGGTGTCATTACAGTTTCGATTTCGTTTGTTTCACGGAAAATAGATTCCATAAAATGAATTATATTTTCTGGAAAATAGTTTTTCAAAATCATTTTATGGTATTTGGATCATATTGTGTAAACCATAATTTATTTAATATTATTTATATCAATTTTATTATTATTAAAATATTATTTCTATAATTATATATATGTATATTAAAACTATTATAATTTATTAAAATGAAAATATTATAAGTATAATTATTTATTACAATAATATTATTATATTATTAACATAATAAATATTACTAATTATATTAATTATTTATTAAAATAAGAATATTATTATAATATTAAAAATTATAGTATTAAAATAGAAATGTTATATTTTAACTATTTAATAATTTAATAATATTATATTTATGATATTAGTAAAATATTAGTTTTATTAATAGTTTTATATATTATCAAAATGAGAGTATAATATCATATATTGTTATAATATATTATTTTAAGATAATAGAATATTATATTATTAAAATTATTAATAAATAAATTTTAATAATCAATATTTTTATTAAATTTAATAAAATATTATATTAATATTAAATAAATCAAATAATTTTGTTTTGAGTATTTATGTTTTTAAACGAAAAATTTAGAAAATGACTTATAGAAAATCAATTCATAAGTATTTTTTAAAAAAAAATTAAAGGAAATTATTTCGTCAACCAAACACTAGAAATGAGGAAATGTTTTCAAAAAATCAATTACAGTGAAACAAACGAACCCTCAATATTTTTTCATAATTTTCTTATTTAATTTACAATGAATGCACACACACTACATACATATTTACTTGAATTTGAGACTTTTAAAGAGAACAACACTCTATTTTATCATTGAGATTGTTCAGTCAAAGTGAAAATGTCATTGTACTACTTGAGCAGTTTTTTTTTTTGCCCAAGAGGGCAAACGAGCTAAAATATTAGCTTTATATTGTTTGGAGAATATTATTTAGGGATCTACGATAAATGCTACAGTGTTCGTGGAACTCATCACGCTGACATGAAGAGTTCCACAAGAAAAATATTTTATTGGATCCAACGTCTAGGTCCAATATTTTAATATTTCTCATGGAATTCGTCTTGTCGACGTGACAAGATCCTTTAAAATATTATTTTTAATTTAGAGTGTTTTTTCAAAATATAGAAAAAAATATTATAACTCCTCATGCTGACATGACGAGTTCGAGCAATCATATTTATATTTTTATTGAATACAAAGTATTAAGTTACACACATATTACAAACATTAACTCCTACATTACATTACATTACATTACAATACAATAGAAACATTAAGTTACCCACACATCTTAGTCTTCATACTCTGCTGACTCGTCATATGTTAAGTTAAGTTCTTCAATCCTCCATTCTTTCTCTCTTTTTTTTCTTCTATATATAGTTTAAGTTCTTTAAGTTCATCTTCTATATTGTCAAATACTTCAAGAGATTTTGTTTTTGATGTGGAAGAAGTTGCGGCTTGCTTGTGATACTCGACAAATAAGCCAACATTACTCTCAGAATTGGTAATGTATGTGTCAATCATTGTTCGAAGAGCATCATCATTGTTCAAATAACCCATTGATGAATTTTGTGGAACCAAAGAGATTGGAAACTTGAAGTGCAGTAAAGAAAGTATTGAATCTTCAGTAGCTCCAATCTTTTTTGAAATTTTCGTCATCAAGTCGAATATGCGAATGTCTCCCTCGAAAGAGATAGTGGAAGATTTTCCCTCACAATAAATTGTTGTTGAAATTGTTGCCATGGAAATTTTTGGAATATGAACTTGAATAATGAAAAAGTAATGGTTATATATAGCACTCAAAAAGTAATGGTGAATTATGATAGGGTATGATGAGTTATTAAATATGGGTAAAAATATCATTCAATTGTTTGATATATTATTGAAATGAAGTCATATATCACTAAAATGTTTCTAAAGTAAAGTGATTGGACACTGAAAAGTTTTTGTTATTGTGTATTAAATGGTTTATGAGAAAATAATGTTTTTTTAATGAAATGATATATCATTGAAAAGTTTATGAAATAAACTGATATATATATCACTGAAAAGGAAATCGATGACACTATTGTACAGTGATTGTGATCAGTCGTATAATGAGTTTCCACATATATTTCACGCAATGGAATTTTTCATCCCTGGAACCATTGTACGATCTTTTACTCGTCCTAAGACCACATTTGATGGGGAAGTTATCTCAAGGAAGAGAGTTTCCATAGGTTTGTTCTAGGATTTCAAGTTATATATTGGAGGTTTTCGCTATTGCAAATATATAGTTCAAGTGGATATGACTTTTCTGTATAACATATACAAACACGTCCTGGTGATAGTTGTTGCACAAGATAGTGACAAAAATATTTTCCTCATTGCCTTCTCCATTTTTAAAAATAAATCGGAGGAAATATGGAATTTCTTTCTCTCCAACTTGCATTCTCATTTTGTCACTCAAAATGGGATATATATGATATAAGACCATGCACTTGGGTTGTTAGTCACGATTGATAAACTAAGAAGTAGGTGGTCGCCTCTCTATGCATATCTGACGTATTACATACGTCATATTGCTTTCAATGGTATGACGAGGTTTAAGAACAAAAAGATTAAAAAAAAGAGATTATCAACATGAGTAACTTATTCTTTTTTCGTTCATGATTTTTTGCTTCATTTATGTTCTTCATTTATTATTATTCTGAAATCCAATTTTTTCAGGATATGTTTTACTACAACCGAACTTCAGTGCAATGATTGAAAATTTGAGAAAATATGGAGAAGATCTTTATAAATTTGTAGTTGAAATATCTCAGGAAAGCTGGTCCTAGGCATATGATGATCAGGGTCGACGTTATAACCATATTACAACCAATCTTGTCAAATGTATCAATTCAATGTTTAAAGGAACTAGTCATTTTCTGTAGCAAGTATTTTTTAGGGAGACTTACTTTAGATTAGGTAAAGTTTGGACAGACAAAGATGCATAAATAGAGGCAATGATCAACGATGACAAAAATTGGGCTCCATACTTAGAGAAGACAATGAACAAATATCAAACACACGTAACATTAATGTTTGTTCATAATTTCATCAAACTTGATTCTGATAACGTTTTCCAAGCATTTGTTTGACCACGTGAGGGTGGTAATCCTACCAAATACACCAGTAATCTCAATAGAAGATTGTGTGATTGTAATCGATTTTAAGATTTTAGATACCAATGCGCTCACGCTATTGTTGCATGTATGCATGTTAATGTAGACTCATACTAATATGCTAATGATTATTATAGCCTACATATTATGCGCAACATATACAGTTGTGAGTTTAAGTATCTCCTAAACGATGCTTATTGGCTAAAACAGTTTCTAAAGAATGGTTGTCAAATCCACAATTACGAAGGAAGTTGAAGGGTCAACTTGAATTTAGTTGAATTCGTACTGATATGGATTATCCTCAACAAGAGCAATATCTACCAAAGCTTTGTGGCCATTGCAAAGGTGAAGGCCACAATAGGAAGCACTGTCTACATCTTCCAAAATATCGGTCAGGTAGATTAAACCTTTGTAATTCTATTCCCATGTTGTTTATTGTACCTTTTTTTTGGATTTTTTTAATATCATTAGCCATCTTTATTTTTAACTTTTCATATATAATTGTAAACTATTCATAAATAACTTTTAACTAAACACAAATTCATACATATATTTAAAATATTTTTTCAACATAAAAATCAATTTTTCGTCTTTTTCTTAATTTCTACACTATTATTTTTCTTTTTTTACATTCATATCTGTAAGTCATTTGCTATGTCGGATTGGCAAGTCTTCATTCTTCTTCTTCTCCTTCTTCTTCTCGATTTTCATCTCATTATTCCTTTCTTCAAGTTTACTTCTCTCTTTGTTTTGATCAAGTATCGACTTTATTGCCTCTTTTTCCCACTCCCCATCTAAAGACGAGCTTGAATACGAATTGTTGAAGTCAGAGTAATCAAACCCAAATAGACCGTTCGAAAAGTTTTTGCAATATTCTTCCCACAAATGCTAGATTTGATTCTCATATAAACTCTATCAACTCACCTCACTCCTATTTATATTGAAAAATTATCGAAATGACCATTGGAACTCGTCATGCCCACAAGACGAGTTCCATCAATTCAAAATTATGTCATTAGCCAACAACTATAAACGACTAGTTATTTAAACCCAGGGGAGCTCGTCACCACGAAATGACGAGTTCCTTTATTTTTAAAAAAATTCAAAATAAACATGCTAACATTAAAAAATATTATTTTAATAGAACTCATCACCTTGACATGACGAGTTCCAAGAAAAAGAATTAAATATAAATCAGACGAATCAATCGAATAAAATACATTTTTCATTTAAACTCATCACATCGACGTGACGAGTTCCATGCGTACTATAATAAATACCGTAGATCTTAAAATAAACTTTTATATGCCTTATTTAACTAATTATTTCTTCCATTTATCCTATTGGGCAAAAAAAACCCTACTTGAGCCGTTTTAGGTATTAAGCCTTCTTTTAAGATTAGCAATAAAAAAAATCCACCAAAATCCAAACTACAATAATTTGCATAGTTCAGGCATATGAAACAGATTTTTTTAGATTTTGATCTAAAATTTTATGGACTAAAATAGTAAAATTAAATATTTTATCTTACTTAAAATTTTATCCTAACTTTACTTTAGAATAACCCGAATTTTACATTAAAATATGATATATATATAGTGGCGGATTTAAAATTTTAATATTAGAGTTTAAAATTTTTATAATATTATTTAAAAAAATGAATATGTAATTTTTTAATTTAGTTTTCTTTCCTTCAACATATTAAACTAAATTTAATAATTTTCCAAAAAAATAGGGTATATAATTGAGCACTCCAAGATTTCATGCATCCGCCATGAATTTGGACCAAGTATTGTCATCAACAGAAACCCCATATCTGACCAAATACAACACTGTGATGTCCATGATTGATCGAAGCATCGAAAAGTTTGAGAGCTGAATATAATGCCTACGTCCGGGTGCAGGTTGTGTGTACTTGTTGACTGATTTGATTGATGAGTTTGAGTATCCAACAGTCAAAACCCTCACAATTCATTGCACTATAAATAATGACAGGGAAGCACTGAATGGAAGCCAATAAAGCTGATTTAATGACTTCTCTTCAGATAATACAATCAAAACATCATTTGCATTCAAGTACAGAGCTTTGCTTGGATTTTAGCAAAAAATTGAACCAAGGAAGGTGTCTATGAAGTCCCCCCATGTTATGGTATTAAAGACTTTGCCTTTAGTTCTGCATTGGGTATCTTGCACCAGCAGCTAGCACTCTTTGCTGCTGTATCTGATTCATTTATGATGATTGAAAAATGGTTAGTGACCTATTAATGGTCATGAAATTGGTTTTTTTTTCAGAAATGGTACCTGGAAGAGTTCATGCAATTTATTCTTGAGGAAACAATACTCATGTTCTAGCAGCTCTAATGCTTTCAGGCACCTGCATCCAATGCCAAAACATCTAGTTAGCACACAATTGTCGCTAAATCGGGACTTACATGATGGTTTATATACAAACATTTAATGACGGTGTAAAAAGATATGATTATCGAACTATAGATTTAACTCTGACATATCAAATTAACGTGACGTGGTTATGTAATGGATTATTGCCTGTGGGGAGATATAAAGCTTTAAAAAATTTAAGAAACTCCGAAGATCTCGAAAGAGAGGATTAATATAACACTAGAGTAGGGGTAGGGGGGCCTAGAAGGCACAAAAGTAGAGGAGTAAGGGTGTAATGCAGCATGCATACCCAGCACGGTTGTTCTGCTCAGAAGCGGCTCGAAACGCGACGCAGACATTTCTTATCCTTTTAGCACCAATGCTCGAGCTGCTCCCCATGAACTGATTCAAATGGATTCCCATCTTACTGTAATCCGAGAACTCTCTATCCATCCTACACCATACATTGTCGAAATCAACAAATCATCCCAAAAAGAAAAGAAATGAAATAATTCCTTTTCGTTGAGAAAATTAAACAAGCATTTACAGCAATGATCTGAGGTTCCTCAGGAGCTTCTCCGATTCGTGGAAATAAATGTTGACGACTTCCGACACGAAGTTTGGCGACGATTCATCTTGCAGTTGTTGGAGCCGCAAGAATTGCTCGTCGAGTATCCCCTGGTGGAAGAGGAATGCGAGCAGACGGTTCGCGTCTGCTAGCAACCGATCGGCGGCCAACCCCAACATCCACACCGGCAGACCCGTTTTGGCTGCTGGGATCGTTGAAATTGTTCCAGTTTGAGTAAAATTTGACTCGAGAACGAAGATGGGTCGGATTTTGTTATAGGAGAAGATACTTCTCTTTCTCTGTTTGTAGGCCTCGAACTTGCCAGGGTTTAGGGTTTTCCTTTGTTTTTCTGGGCTTAAGCAAGAATGTCAAGTTCAACAGCTATTTAAAGTGTGAGAGGTTGGACACCAACTCCAACACTCAAAACCATAAAATACCAGTTGTGGACCCTAGTTATTAGAGGTGGGTAAAATTCGATTCGACTCGAAAAATTCGAATTGATTCGTAAAAGTTTTAAGTTCAAATCGAGTTGTAAAATACGAGTTGATTAACTCGAAATTTTTAATAATTAATATATTTATTTCCAAGTTTGAGTCGAAGTTTGAGTTGAGTATCTCGACTTTGTATGGTATATATAAATCACATATGAAAAAATACGAACAAATATATGTATTGTATATGTTTATAAAATATAATTTAAATTGGAATCAAATAATGTCATAATATTGTAAATATTTACAATTAAATTTAAATAGAAACTTAAAAATTTGACTCGACTCGACTCGACTCAATATTTTATAAACTCGACTCAACTCGAGAAAATTTCAAGTCAACCCCGACTAATTAAATAAGACTCGTCAACTCGAATAACTCAATTTTTTTACTCTATTTGACTAGATCAAACACTCACCCCTACTTGCTATATTTTAAAAAAATATGATACAATGAATGATAAGAACGAGTAGAATTTAGGATGAAAAATATATGATCCGGTACAATAGTATAACTGTCCATGTATATTTAGAGATCATTACTATAACACCCCTTTCTTAATCATCGACAACATATATTCAATAGATATAGTTTGAATTCAAATCTTTAAAAAGAACAACATTATCTTCTACGACTGAGAACGATCGAAAGTTAGATGTGATTATTGGCAAAACTTTCGAGATAATGTTCTGGAAGAAATTAATTCACGAGATAATGCACTCCCCAGATTAATTGCTCAAATAGGATGAAATCCACAGTGTTGATCGTAGGTCCCCATGCCTTCCGGGCGACATACTACGTGGCCAGCTTCCCGACAAACTCACAGAGAGAATGAACTTATTGCATGACACATGCACATCCCAACACATAGGTCGTCATGCCCTCCGGACGACCTTATAGGTCGCCATGCCCTCCGGGCGACCTTATAGGTCGCCATGCACTCCGGGCGACCTACCCTTGCTCGCTCGCTCGCTCGGATGCCCTCACATAGCTCACTCGGTTGCCCTCGGATTCCCTCGCATAGCTCGCTCGGATGGCCTCGGATGCTCTTGCATAGCTCGGTCGGATGACCTCGAATGCTCAGCGTGTTGGGACGTGCATGGCACATGCAATCTCTCGTAGCTCGCCGGGAAGACATGGCGACTTACGGCCAACACTGTGAATTTCACCATATTTGAGCAATTAATCTTGAGAGTACATTATCTCGTGAATTAATTTCTTCCAAAACATTATATCGAAAGTTTTGCCTGCTATTATTGGATATCAAGGAATTTTAAACAATAAAAAAAAGGGAGTGTGAGGTTGTGGCAGCTCGCGTGCACTGGTGCCTGTGTGGCCATGCTATGGCAAATGCGGCTTGGCCGACAACTGTCTGCACCCGCCTCGCCGACAACTGTCTGCACCCGCCTCGCCAACAACAAAACTAAACAAAAGGAAACCAAAAGGCTAAATAAAACGAAGCCCAACTTTTTAACCTACGGATAAATTTATTTCACCTTTTTCCCACACATGCTGCCAAAAATCAACAGATAAAACAGCGCACACACTGGTTTCCTGCTGCACTTTTCTCATCTCCTTTCTCGAGAGAATGGTTTGAGGTTTACATTGAGATAATTACTGCAGACTGCGTTGTTTTTTTTTAAATTTACTGCAGACTGCATTGAAGAATGGGGGAGAGGGTTAAAGGAAAAGAAAACGCCCGCTAAACAAGGCAAAGAAAAAAATTGGAAGAGAGGACACGTGGCGAAATGGGTATGTTTCGGGGTTTTTTTTATGTATGTTATGGATGATGATCATGATATACTTTCCAAAGAGAGTGGATGGTAATCAATGGAACCTGAAAAGTGTGTTTATATTTACTCAATAATGAAAAGCTCAAAAATATAGGTGGTGATTCTCTCATTCTTATATGGGACCATGATCAATTAATCTCTACTTATTTGGTTAACCCTCTAATATTTTCTCGTTTATTTTTTAATATCATTGATAATTGATTTATCGATCGATTATTTGGATTGAGTTATACAAAAATTTATCATGTCTGAGTTATATGATCCAAATTCTTTCTTGATGGAACAAGAGGTGATTAAGAAGAAATTCACTTAAATAGAGGTTAAAACGAAGATATACGATGGTAGGAGAAGTTCAATCTGTATATAATCTTACTTTCTTTCTTCCATTTACAAGCTGACGAAGAATAAAAAACTCAGTTTGAGTAGATTTATTTCTATGCAAATTTCTTTTGTAAACAAGAAACGCATCCCTATAAATAGATACTAGAGATTAGAGTTTAAAGATAATTTGGGTAAATTCTAAATTTTGTTTAGACGTTCATCTTCTTATATATTTTTGCTATAATAAATCCTTTCTCTTCTTCTGCCAATGATTTTTCGGAAGGATTTTTCATGTTAAATCTTGGTGTTCTTTATTTTGTGACGGTTTTACATTCGTTATTATCATACTATCATTATTACAAGAACGATTCTCTCGATTTGATTTTCTCTATTCGCAATGTCGGGATTTAAACTTAGGGCAATTTCATAAGGGACTTAAGGTATCATTCTACTATATAGTTGATAGCCAATATGTTCAAATTAAGGTTTACTAGTGAGATTTTGTATTATCTTTTACATAGATAGCTCAAAAATTACTCTGAAACTTGGACTTCAATTCCTACCTTTTTTTTCTCATGAGCAGAGGAATTCTAACATTCGGTTTTTTGATCTAATAATAATTTAGATTCTTATAAGTTAAATATTAAATAAATTAATACTTACCCTCAAAATTTAAATTTAAATACCTAATTATTGTGTTTTTTAAATTAAATAATTTCTCTTCCAATATTTAATTTCAATTCGGTCCTTAATCAAGTTTGTCAGTTAAACCCTAATCTAAGATTCAAACTTTGGATAACTCTCACATATACTAGAGAGCGATCAAAGACTGAGTTTATGTACTAGTGACTAATAATAGGATTAAAGAATAAGTACCAACGAGGTTGGTACAAGTGGTAAGTAATTTGATATCAGTTAAACTTGTCTCGACTTCGAGTCATTCTGTATGCACAAAATTCTCGCTAAGAGACTCACCACCAAAACCAGGTGTGCAATGTGACAACAACAACAACAACAACAACAAAACCCTGATTCCCATATGCAATGGGGTAAGGGGGAGGTAGGGTAGTAGGCTGACCCCAACGCCAGGTTGAGAGCAGCTTCTGTGGAAGACCTCTGGCAGTCAGAAAATTAAAAATAAAGATAAGATGCAAATGCGTTTATAAATAAATAAATAAATACATAGATGATCAGTCTTCATATGCAGTCTTGATATGTGCGTCCGTAATGGGGAGTAATCCCTGTAAATAATTCCCTGCAAAATAATTCCCTACATAGAAATCTCTGCATATAGACTGAAAATGTAAGCCCCAGCTAAATTTAAAAAGAGGAAACATGAATAGAAATGATACACATAAGTCAATAATAGCAAGCTACGAGAAGGAATAAATTCAAATGAGTTAATTCTTAAACTAAGGCAACACTACTCCGATACCCTAGTTCTAAGTCTTCATACATTTCAATGACAGAAACATATATAAAGTAGAAGTCATGGGAAGTACTACAAAGACATTAAAAAGAAGACAGAGATGTTACACCCTATGGCTGTGAACCGCACTACTCAACTACCCTGGTCTTAAGTCTCCATACTTTCCTATCAGAGGTCATGTCATCGGTAAGGGCTAATTCCTTCAAATCAGATCTCAAGCAGTCTTCCCACTTCCGTCTTGGTCATCCTCTCCTTTTGACACCGTCGACTGTAATCGACTCTACCCTCCTGACCGCATCCGACGGTTGTCGCCTAAGGACATGCCCAAACCACCGTAGTCTTCCCTCCCTCAATTTTTCAGATACAGGCACCACCCCCAAGTACATCCTAATAGCAGAGTTATGTGTCATGTCCCACAGGTGTGCAATGTGAGTCGGTTTGAATTAATCAACCACAAAACCCCGCAGAAAATCGGAAGGGAAAAAAATTAAAGAATAAGTGACTTTGTCTGATAAATCAGAGAAACCGTGGGGGCAAAAACCAAAGAAACACATTTACATTGGAGAAGATGAAGTGAGTAATTAATGGCAGCTATGGAAATATAAAATAAATATGGTTGAGGGATGAATTATGGCAGCCTCCAAGTCAGGAGTGTGATGGGTTTAAGCATTATTTTATCTGGTTTTAATTGTAGAAACAAAGCATGTTCTTTTCTTTACATAAACCCTAGACAGTCGACATTGCATGCTCACTTGAAAACCATGCTTTCTTTTGACGTAAGCAAATGTCTTCTGTCTTTGTCTCCTAATTAACTATTACTTTTAGTTCTAAACCCTTGAATCCAACATTGTTGCGAGTTTAAGTATACTAAGACGTCGTGCAACTTTTTAAATATTAGGGTAAATTACGCGATCAGTATCTAAACTATCAGTTTTGGTCTGTTTTAGTACCTAAACTTTCAATTTTTTCAAAACCATGCCTAACGTTTATTTTTGTTTCGTTTTAGTACGTACATGTCGTTAAAAACTTAACGAATGAGCTGACGGGGTATAGCTCTGGTGAACGAACGACCAATCCGAACGGTGAACCACGAGAGAATGACGAGTCGACCAACATAGTCCAATTTTAGGCCCATCAGAAAGTTGACGAGGGAGACCAATGACTGTAGACGCGGCGATTGGCTTTAAGTTTTTAACTACGAGTACTAAAATAAAACAAAAACTAAATATTATGTATAGTTTTGAAAAAAAAAATTAAGTACTAAAACAAACTGAAGTTGATAGTTTAGGTACTACACACATAATTTACCCTAAATATTATAACAATAATGAGATGAAATTCGATCGATTAATTTATGAATTATTTGTTCTTAGTTTAATGGTAAAAGTAGTTATTTATCAACTTATTAAATAATTTCAATGATTAAATGAAATGTTATTTTATCTAGAAGTTCTTTATTTAAACAACAACGTCTATGTATACAGTTATTGTCAATTAGTGCGGGTCACATCCATAGGGTGTATCATCTCTTTATTCTTTTAATGCCTTTGTAGTAATTTACATGACTTCTACTTTTTATACGTTTCTGTCATTGGAATTTATGAAGGCTTAGAACTAGGGTAGCGGAATAGTGTTGTCTTAGTTTAGGTTTTAACTCATTTGACTTTATTCCTTCTCGCAGCTTGCTATCGTTGACTTCTGTGTATCATTTTCTTCATGTTTCCTCTTTTAAATTTAGTCGAGTCTTACGTTTCTGTCTATATGCAGATTTTTTACGCAGGGATTTATTTGCAGGGATTACTTCCCATTACAGACGCGCATATGAAAACTGCATATGAAGACTGTTCAACTATGTATTTATTTATTTATTTATACATGCATTGCATTTTATCTTTATTTCTAATTTTCTGGCTGTCGAAGGTCTCCCACGGAAGCTCTCTAAACCTGGCGTTGGGGACAGCCTACTACCCTATCTCCCCCTTACCCCATTGCATATGGGAATAGGGTCTTGTTGTTGTTGTTGTTGTTGTTGTTGTAGTTAAGAGAATTTTGAACACATGTTATATTATAATTATCTCATACTAATATCATTCTGAAAATATAATATTTTTTATTAACATGGGATGATTATAAGTGATAGCTTTTATTTTGAATATTATCAATTATCTAACAATGAACGCTTAAATACCTTACTATTACTGATGCTCGAATATGAGATCTCATAACAATCGTCTATTTAACCACTGAGATCGTTTAGTTCATACTCTCTAAAAATATAATCTTTTATCGTTAAAGATTTTAATTGATTATATAATCAAAAGATTTTTCAATAAATTTAATATAAAAGGTTCAAAAAAGAATGTTAGTGGACCCGAGAATAAAAGAACATGTTTTTTAACTTTTAATGTAACTTTTTTTCTTGTAAATGTTAATTTACGACAGCGTTGCATGCGTAAAATTGGCACGTGTGTCGTTTCTAATAAGAGAAATAAATGTTTAGGAAAGGAAATGTAAAAGGAAAGCATGCTGATTAATTAATTAATTAATATAAGAGATATATTATTGAATAATGAACCTAAAAACTTGTGTTTAAAGGAAACACTTTTCAAGTAGCTTATAGCAATATTTAAGTTATTTATTTTTTTAAAATATAAATTTGAACTCATTGAGCGATGTTAATGGTTGTAAGTAGGTGTATATTCGGCTCGGTTTGGTTCGGTTTTTTAATAAAAGTTATACCGAACCACAATAAATGATTTTTTAAAATTAAAACTGAAATTGAATGGTATAAAAACCGAAATATGTGAAACCGAATTTTTCGGTTCGGCTCGGTAATGCGGTTTTTGATATACCGAAAATATTTTTGTATTTACTTTAATTGGGCTAAATATTAGGCCATTAGGGGTAAGTGGGTAACCGGCTGGTCCTCCGACTATAGGACATTACTTTGTTGAGCCCTCGAATATTAAAAGTTACAAAATGGTCACCCAACTATTCATATATTCTAAACTTATACTTTTATGTTAAAAAATTGAAGGCCTTCTGGGGTTGGACGTTGACTTATTGACTGAGATATGATAAAATATGATCTCAGAACCATTTGAGGTATAGGTTTTGGATCGAGTCTCCTTTTATATTATGTCGTCGAGTCAGCGCTTAAAACATTATATCGTCACGCCAGTTCTTGAAAGCAACAACGATGCTAGTAGACATTAATAATATATTTTTTTCATATCCCAATCAACAAGTTGATGCCCAACTTAAACGACAATCTATCTTTCAATAAAAAAAGGACGAGTTTAGAACATATAAATAGTCGATTGACTATTTTATAACTTTTTAATAGTCGAGGGACTCAACAAAGTAACACCCTATAATCGGATGACCATTTGTGTACTTTACCCTTGTATTTTGTACATCGAATACAAAATTATTATTTTGCTTAATTAATATTCTTAAAAATATCTTTCTCAAAATATATATATAATCAAATTCATTCATTAATTTCAATTCAATTTTGAATTATTGAATTGGTTGTGTATCCCACTTTAGATATATAGTAATCATTTAAGTGTTATAATGTGACAAATAAGAACTATAAAAATCTTATTAAAAATATATTTTTCCTTTTTTTAATAGTTGTGACGATTATAAAATAATATTTATTCAGTTTTCTTTTAATTTATTAGCAACGTACACACATTATATAGACACGGTTACTCGAATCTGAATCATCTAAAAGATATATTATTTCATTTTATCACCGAAATCATTTAATAAATTCATAAACAACAATTTATAAATATAAGTTTCATGGTCAAAAGAATTGACTTTGAACAATTGGTGATGTGATAAGAATGGGAAGTCTCACGTGCAACAACTTAATATACAGTTAAGAAAAGACGTTATGGTAAAAAATTACCTAAAACATTATTATTTCTACCGGAAATGTTGTTATTGGATGCTTTACCGGGTTTGTTAACATATCCGATAAAACGTTATCTAAAACATTATTTTTTCTACTAGATATATTAATATTGGACACTTTACCGAAAATATTAAAAATACATTAATATTTTAAGTAAAAAAATAATGTTTTATATAACTTTTTATAAAAAAATATTAAAAAATAATAATATTTTCGATAACATCTTTTGTTAAGAATATTAAGGTTTACATACGACAAAACTTCACACGAAGAGAATGCTTATTCCTCAATAGGATTTTTTTATGGGGTTCCCTATTTTTGCGTTATGAAATGATATTATCCTCAAAATCAAAGAAAAGGACAAATAAGAGGTGATAAGGTGATCATGTGGAGATTAGAGTTTTTGAGATGAAATGAAATCCAGATATTTCTGTGCCATCTTTTTGTTTTAGCCCTTCAGTTTCCTAAATGATCTTCCCCCGTCATCTTCATGGATTAGATATTATTTTCCCAGATTTTCTCTCTATATACTAATTCAATTCCTTCACCTTTTCTAACCAAAAGTTCTCTCCTTTTTCGCCATTGTTTCTTGGGAGCAAAAGGGTATTCTCCGTTGGAGGAAAATGGCAGCTGCTGCACCAATCTTTACATCTCCAACTCAACCCTTCTCATCATCCAATCGATTAAGAGGTACAACGTTTATGTTCAGGGATTGATCCAGGGGAGTTCGGGACGACGCTATTGAAATTTTTATATAATTTAGTTATTATCTTTATGATTTTATTGATGATTTAATTTCCTCCTCTTAAAATTTATGATTGGTATGTAGAATAAAACCATGTGTCCATCTCTGTTTTTGTTGTTTCTTTTCATGTTTCTAATTGATTTTGAGAAAACATGGTGTGAAGGATGAAGCTAGGCGAGATCGGGCGGGGAATCGTCCCTTAAAATTTTAAAATTATCATTTAGATATTTTTCATTTCTTGAAATTTTATAAATTTAACATAAAATCTTGGTATGTCCCTAGTAAAGATCACTAGGGTTCTAAAGTTTTGTGCTTTTCAATGCAGCTAGTGGCTTTATGGGTGCCTCATTGCCCAGTAATTCTCCACAGTTCAAAAGATCAGTCAATATTAGAGGGAGAATTAGTGCTGCTGCCACTGTTACAAAAGGTCCCATGGAAGATATTAAAGAGTATGAACTCCTAACTTCCTTCTATTGATTCCTTTTTCATACAGAAGTTGTATGATGAGATTTGAACCCGAGACCTCTATGTTCTCGGGATGTCTTGCTTGTCGTTTACGGCAAGCAAGACCTCGTAGGAGGTGGTAAATGGAGGAATTCATCCTCTCCATGTGTGTAAATGTTGCATGTTGAACTTATATGTGCCTCACAGGTACACTCTTCCGTCGTGGGCGATGTTCGAACTTGGGAAGGCTCCGGTTTATTGGAAGACGATGAACGGTCTTCCTCCGACTTCTGTAAGTGCACCATTGCTGCATTTTGATTTTCATGTTGCTTGAGCTATACTCTCTAGTCTTTTTTTGTATGACAGGGAGAGAAGCTGAAGCTTTTCTACAATCCAGCAGCAAGCAAACTTACTCCAAATGAGGATTTTGGGATTGCTTTTAATGGTAACTTCACATATCCTTGCTCCGTGATGAAACGAACACGAACCCGACAATCAAAGAGTCGAAAACCCAAAATTACTTGAACTTGAAATGACCTGAACCCGAAAAATTCGGAATCCGATATGAGCCTATGACTTGATGAATTTGTAACTCTGCAGGAGGCTTCAATCAGCCTATCATGTGTGGTGGTGAACCGAGACAAATGCTGAGGAAAGCTAGAGGCAAAGCTGATAGTCCAATATACACCATACAAATATGTGTTCCTAAGCATGGTAAGTATGTTTCATAAATTTCAATTTTCTTTCTTGTGCAATTTACGATTTTTTCCCGTTCGATTTACAATCGATTACTTGTCATTATCTTCTCCAATTTCATATGGCAGCTGTGAACTTGATATTCTCATTCACAAATGGAGTCGATTGGGATGGTCCTTACAGACTACAGTTTCAAGTTCCGAAGGCATGGCAAAACAGACCAATCGAATTCTTTAACCAGGTAAATTATGATCGTATTCGATGCATATCTAGATATGGATATAGAAATACGATCTTCTAAGCTCTCAAAATGCATTAAAGTTTGGAAAATTTTGATTCTACTCGTATTCGATTTGAGACACACACCTTGATCCGAATGTTGTGGTAACAGGGGCTAGCAGGGGAGCTGAGTAAAGAAGGTGCATGTGACAAAGCAATATTTCCAGACACAAGTATTGTTGTGGATAGATGTGTCATGATTGGTAACTTGTCCAAGGAAGGAGTAAGTAAAATGAAACGTGTTATTTCATCTGTTTTCTTCCTTGTAAGGTGAAGCATCAACTTCATATGTGAACATTCGTAAATCCGTGACACCGTTTGCAGGGCGATCGTTGCAGTCTTGATCTGGTTCTGGGATGCATGGACACGAACTCACACCTGTATAACCCTCTGGCCAATGTAGACGACGGCTCGTGCCCGATTGATTCCGATGTTGAGGATTAGTTGTTAGTCAGTTGCAACTCTTATGCATCCTAAATTACTCCTAGCAGTTCTAAAGACTAAAATGAAATAGTTGTATAGAATGTAGATGATGGGGCCATCAACAGTGTTACAAAACAACAGAAGATTGGACCGATCAATTGAATTGATAATCGATGTTTTATCCGGTTTGACATGTCCAACAAAGAATCTTCGATTCGGTTAAGAACCGACAAAATCAAACAATGTATTACATAAAAGACGATAAAACTCTCTTCAAGTATCTAATAGAGCGCATCAAAAGTCTTGAACTAAAATCATATCAATAGATGGAGTACTCTTATTTAATAACATTCACCATTTGGAAAATATCATCAAACACAAGTGCACAGCAGCTGATTATAAAAGCAGTGTCTTTTTCTTTAAAATTTGAAGATATAAGAACAAGTTCATTGACAATAACTATTACTAGTTCTCCTCCCTACTTGACTACACTTGAACCCCATTTGCCATTCCTAGTTTTTTAGTCTAACTTCACTGGTACCTCATGCAAGAGCAGTTTTTTTCCTGCTCTCTATATACTTACCCGCGAGTGAATCGAATAAGATCCCGGCACCGATGCCAACCACCAAATCAATCGTGTAGTGACCCCTTGTACCAAGCAATCTCATGGCTTGAAGCACATTGAGTGTGTCGAATAACCATGCCAATTGCCATCTCTGCATTCGCCTCATGTCCAACGATGCAATCACTGATCCAGCGACATGGCCGGAGAAGAAGAGGAAAAACGAGACATTTCCTACGGGGAAATCCATCCCTGACCCTACAAATTCCTGCCATTCATCAAAGTTTCAAATCATAATATTTCAAACCATGAAATTTAACACAAGCAGTTGACCAATCAGATAGTTTCATTTTCCTGCCGGCATAGCATTATGCACACACTACGGTATTGTGCTCTTCGGAATTTGCCACCGAGGTTGGAACCCCAAACCAAACCTTAGGTAGCAAAGCTTTAAGGCACTTGTAACTAGTAAGTGCTCAAACAAGACAATACTGAATCGCGAGCACGTCGCTATGTGATGCTACGGGGAGAATGAAAATACTTGGTCGACTGCAGGGTCGTGCCTGAAATAGATTAAGAATTAACCTGAGGTAATGGGAGCTGCGTCGAGTAACCGAGGATCCCACGACAAGTGAACATGAACAAAGCAGAAATCGTCGCCCTTGGTCGACCCTCAACTAACCAGGTCCCGATTATATACACTGATTGCATCCCAACAAACACCTATCAAACATATAAGCAGAGTTCATCGGACCATTAATCTAGCAAAAATTAACGCCCTTACCTTTTCAGATCTTCATATTTCTACTTAATTTCGTGTTAATTTTTATAGAAAACTTCAGATATTCTTAGCATGCAATTACATCAGACTATCAGAGAATGAAATCAATAAATTAACTTAAAAACAAAACCCACATTTTCTTGTTATTTTTGGTTTGAGATTTCTTGATATCTCATAGTCTCGTGATCTCTGATTATATTCGGAATCGAATCGAGTCTAAACTTTTCGAAAGGAAAAGAAATGAACAGTTGCATACCGTATTAAGAGCAGCTAAAATGGAATTAAGTTCCGGCCACGAAGCCAATGCGCGATGGAAGGAGCGTGTAACGACAAACCCCAGATCATAAGGCGGTGAAGAGTCAGGCACCATCCGGAGCGTGTATTCCACGTAAATGAAAAACAACAGCCCCGCCGCGAAAAAACAGGGTATCCGGTGATATTTCGCGACATAAACGACGTCGTCCAGTGTCCATTTCATGAACGATGCCTTCCCGCGAGAAATGTCACCGTCGGCATGATGACCGCCGGTTTTCTTGCTTGCCGTGACTTTAACGCCGTGTCCTTTTCCATTAGCTCTTCCGGAACGTTTGTAACGGGGGCTGATAAGGATTTTCGTGGCGACGGTTGACTCGGCGGCGGCCATGGCTGCTAACGGTGATCGGAGAAAGTAGAGAGGAGAAATGAAAGCAGAAAGTGACAATGGATAGTGAATGACTTGACAGAAGAAAGAAAATTATAGTGGCGGAGTTTACAAGGAATTACTGACAACATATGTTTTGGCATAATAAAACATTAGCCCCTAAACTATATTTTATTTTCTATTTTAGATATCATATTTTTTTTTGTTCACTATCTTGGCCTTTTTGTTGCAATAAACTAGTGTCACTCTTCTAATCAATTAATGAGTAAATATGGAGGATTAAATTGAAAAATTTTGATTTCGAAATGCTTCAGTTAATGCATTTCAATCTCCAAGCTGGATGTTAACTTGTGGACTAAAATATGATAGTTATTTAAGATTTTGGTATTAGATTTTATCGTATCACAGTCAGCAGGTTAACGTCCAACTTGGGCTGTAATCATTTTTTAACGAAAAATGATGAATTTAGAACATATGAATAGTCAGGTAACTACTTTATAACTTTTAATAGTTGGGGGACTCAATAAAATACCACCTTATCGCCGAGGGACCATTTGTGTACTTTACCCTTATAAAATTAATAGACCTTTAGATTTTAACTAGTCATATTTAAAAGAAAATTAACGGACGATAAAGGTTGGTTAGTCCTGATGAGACTTTCGTACAATAAAATAATAAAAAATATATATAATGCACCAATAAATGTAACAGAGCATCGAATCATAGTCCTATAGAATAACAGAAATCATATAATAAATACTTTTAAAAGTTTTTATTATAAAATATAAAAAATATTTAATATTAAAAACCCTAATATTTAAAGGTGGGGTGTCACATGCCACTTTGTGTCTGCCATGTGCGATACGGCGAAACCTGCCTTGATTTGGTAATAACAATTGATAAAATTACCATATTGGCATCCAACTTTGTTGGTTTGATAATATTAGCCCTTAAACTTTTAGAAATATTTTTAACAGTTTCTACCTAGAGGAGGAGAACAATAATTGCGTCATTAAAATATTAACTAATTCATCCTTAATGAAAAGTTGGTTTTAATTTTATTTTTTAAAAAAGGGTAAATTATGTGTTTAGTACTTAAACTATCAATTTTGATCCGATTTAGTACTTAACTTTTAGTTTTTTAAAACCATACCTAAAATTTAATATTTATTTCATTTTAGTACCACTTTCAAAATTTAACATTAATTTTGGAAAAAAAATTAAAAGTTTAGGTATTAAAATGAATCAATACTGATAATTTAAGTATTAAATGTATAATTTACTCTTTAAAAATATATATTTCTAAAATTTGATGATGTAGTGAAAACGATAACATAGTTGATGTCAGTATTTCAATAAATATTATATTATATTATATTATATTATATTATATTATATTATATTATATTATATTATATTATATTATATTATATTATATTATATTATATTATATATATATTTATATATTATATTATATTATATTATATATTATATTATTAGCTAAAAAATTTAATTCGTAAATTTAAGGGACCAGAAAGGTCATTCTGCCATAAAATAAAAACAATGGTCATAAATTCCATTTTCGGAGAATCCAAAGTGTAATTTCCCCAGATTTTCGAGGACTAAAGGTCTAACTTTCTCACTTTTCTGTTAATTTATTTTATTTGATTTTTCATTTGAAGACTTCAATTTTTTTATTCGTTTGATATAATAAATAAATGTATATAAACATAAAATGGTTAATTAATTAACTAAAATATTTCAAAATATATATATAATTTTTTCAAACGTTGATTATCATTAATACTAGGGTTAACTATGAGTTTAGTACTTAAACTATAGTCTTAGTTTGTTTTAGTACTTAATTTTTTATTTTTTTTTTCAAAAACATATTTAATGTTTAATTTTTGTTTCATTTTAGTGCCCGCCGTTAAAATTTAATGTGTTCAGTACCTAAACTATCAATTTTTGTCCATTTTAGTACCTAAACTGTAAAAAAAATTAAAACTTAACGTTAAGTTTCTAACATGTACTAAAATGAAATAAAAACTAAACTTTAGGTTTGCTTTTAAAAATATTAAAAGTTACTAAAATAGATCAAAACTGATAGTTTAGATAATAAACATAGTGAAATTAATCTATCTTATATTTGAATTATCACAATATATCGATCCGTTTTCAATTACCCTTATTATCAAAAAATCTTTTTTTATTGAACAAGATAATCGTGTCTTGATCAATAACTTGATAATCGAACAACTCGGTATATTTGAATGTCCAAAGATACCTTTACCCCTGCTGACGCTTGATGTGATTTATCTTAATTCGAATCAACATGAAAAAATGGATTATAAATATTAACACGAACATGAACACGAACACGAACAAAAACTAAAGTCTTGTAGGTGTATATTTTATAGAAAAAGTACAAATAAAGTTTAATATAAAATGTAATTGAATTTGAAAATCTCAAAAAACGGATAATATATTATATGGATATGCAGACAAAATGTATTTTATTTAAATTTAATACTTTTAATTTTAAGGAAGACCAATTTTTAGTAACTAATAAAGATTAAATTTATTAAATTAAAATAAATAAGTAATGAGAATTGAATACAAAATTATACTAATTTTATTAACAGTCAAATCAATTATTTCTTTAATATTAATAATACATAACACGATTTAATTAGCATTATAAAAAGAGAAAATAACCTCAGTGACCAAAAATCCCATATAATATACGATTTTAACCAACTTTTTCCGGATTTGTCAAAATAACCAACAAAATCGCAATGCGATCGCTAATTCGCAATGCGATCTCCATTATCGCAAATCAATTTCCAGATTCGCAACTCGATTATTACTATCGCAATGCGATTTTCCAATTTCGCGTTGCGATTTTCCCAATTCGCAATGCGAATAAGTAAATCGCAATGCGAATTTGGAAAATCGCAATGCGATACTTACTATCGCAACGCGATAATACAAAATCGCAACGCAATACTGACTTTCGCAACGCGTACTGACTTTCGCAACGCGATTCTGACTTTCGCAACGAGATTCTGACTTTCGCAACGAGATAATACAGAATCGCAATGCGATTTTCAAAGTTCGCAACAGGTTTTAGTTTCGCAACACAATTTTTTTGTGTATATATCTACGCAACAGCAACAACTCATAACCTAAATCCCTAAATCGCAACTCATTCAATCTCCATCTATCACTCTCTCCGGCGACATCCGTACCTATATCCAACGACATCATTCCCTATCCGGCAACAGGTCTTAGTTACGTGTTTCAAAGAAATTGAATTTAGAGCCCCTAAGTGGATTTAGGCTATCTTATCAGAGAAATGGTAAAGTTTATTTGTTAACCGACAATGAAAATGTTGAACGATTCATTGCTTACATTAGTGTTTCAAGTGATGATGTTACATTGTATGTTATTGAACCTAGAAGTAGTATTGTTGGGTCAGTAGCGGGTAGTAATCAACTAAGTTTTTCTCAAAACCCATAACCTTTCTCTAATCCAAATCCCAATCAGCTTTCAGCACCAAATTCCGATTTTCGTATTGACCAATTAGACGATGATGAGCCAAGAGAAAAAATTGTGAGTACTAGTCAGTATTCGAAATTTGATCTTGGTCAATACCCAGACTTTGATATTGGTCAATACTCAGATTTTGATGATGTTTCAGAATAAGAAACAGACCCTGCGTGTAATGATTTTGATATTGGTCAATACCCGAATTTTGATGATGAAACAGCCGTTGCCGAGGAAGATGTTGTTGATGATAATGAGGAGGAAGTTACGATTGTGAATGAACATGTTGAACATCCATTCTATAATTCATATAATCCTGAATAAGAAAAAGAAGAAGAAAAAGTCCTCGAAGAAAAGAAAATGACACAGGAGTATAACTGGAATATGCCAGAATTACTTCAGCTACCGGAAGAAGAGTTGGTAAAGAAAGCAGTTGATTGTTACACAAAAGTTATTCGTATCAAGAAAGATGATTGTTTTGATACAAAGGAAGACTTGAAGATAGCTTTGTATACAAAATGTGTGGAAGATGGCTATCAACTAAAAGTTAACAAATCAAGCAAAGATCATTTCGAAACAAGGTGTATGATTGACAAAAACTGTACGTGGCGTATGATTGCAAAGAGGATAAAAGATTGCGAAATGTTTCAAGTTAGGACTTTTATTGATAAACATACATGTTCAAGAACCCAAGTTTTTCCTCATCATAGACAGGCAAACAAAAAAGGTGTTGGGTGGTTTTCTGGCTGAGTTAATGTTTTTGAATGGCAGGGTATATCGGGGACATGAAATTATGACTGACATGAATGCTCGGTTCAAGATTAGTATATCATATTCTCAAGCTTGGAGAGCCAAATGTTATGCCTTGGAATTGTTGAGGGGGTCGCCAGAAGCATCGTTTGCCCAACTGCCGGCTTATTGTCACAATTTAAAGCTAAAAAATCCTGGGTCGGTAACTCATATCAAAACAGATAGAGATGGACGCTTTCAGTTGCTGTTTATCGCCATTGGTGTTGCGGTTAGTAAATCAATATAATTATGTTGACTCATTTTTGTTAGTTACATGCATTTCACATTTAAATTATTATATTTCTTGTGTATATTATTTTGTAGATTCGTTCGTTTATTACTTGCATGCGTCCAATTATTATAGTTGACAGAGCACATTTGAAAGGTCGATACCTTGGAGTAAACTTATTAGCAGTAGCCATGGATGCTAACAATGGGATATTGCCAATAGCTTACGGGGTTGGCAAATCTGAAACCTCTGATTCATGGACATGGTTTATGGGGCATCTTAGGGATTGCATAGGTCATATTAGCAATCTGATAATCATATCCGATAGGGCAAACTTAATTGACAACACTGTTAGAAGGTGTTTCCCAGATGCTTTTCATGGACTTTGTGGTGTTCATTTGTATAGAAATCTAAAATCAAGGTCTGCTGGTATAAAAAATCACAAATGGACATATTGGAAGGCTGTAAAATCTTATCGGGAAGTGGATTTTAATAAGCATATAAACATTTTAAGATGTGTTTTGCCTCAGTGTGCTCAAACACTAGAAGATTTCGGGTTTGAAAGATGGTCAAGAGTACATCAACTTGGAGCAAGATATGATTTCATGACGTCTAATAGTGCAGAATCAATCAACGCTCTAAGTCGTCATTCCGGGAAATTACCCATTATTATGTTAATGGAGTTTTTTTGAGCCTCTATTCAACAGTGGTACTACAAGAAAAGAAACCATGCATGTATTATTTCTTTAAATTCGTAACTTATCATATATTTTACTAAGTATTATTTATTTAAATTTACAGGAACATTGGAACATCGTGTTACACCATGGACAGAAAAAAAGATAACGAAACGTGTTGTGAAGTCAACGTCATGGA